ACCAGGCTTGGGTCAGGTGGCCCTTGGGTCTTGCTCGCCCCGCGGTGCCCCGTGGGGTGCGGGAGAGCTGTCCCTGCCCGTGACATCCCATCCATCAGGGCTGCACCGAATCGCTCCTTTCTCTCCCTGGTGTGACAAGGCGCCGGCTGATCCGTGTCATAAAATAGAATCGCAGAATGATTTGGGTTGGAAGGGGCTTTTAAAGGTCGCGCCGTCCAACCCCTTTTCCATGGGTCTCTTGAATGTCTTCGGGGATGGGGCACCCACCACCTCTCTGGGCAAGCTGTGCCAGTGTCTCAGCGCCCTAATTGTAAAAAAAATTCCTTCTTTGTATCTAATTTCACGACCCTCATAGGTATCAAGATGAGGGTCCAGCATGGCCACCATGAGGAATGGCTCATGGGGACACCCCCTGGGACAGGAGCAGCACCAGGGGTTGGATATGAATAACAGGGGGGTTGGATATGAATAACAATGTTCTTTCCCTCCGTTTTTGCTTGGGACTCCTGATACCTTGCTGGAAGCAATCCCTTGTGCCATGCTTTTAAGGAGCAATGTGATTTTTTTTTAAATTTTTTTTACATTTTTGGGTTTGTTTTCGTGCTGGTGGTGACTGCTATCTGCCTGTGAACAGAGGAGCCCAAATCTCCTTGAAGCTGGCAGATGTTGCTGGTATTTAGCACCTTGGAGAATCGTGCCTTTCCTATTGAGGTGTCAGCACAAATATGTTTATTTAGATTACTTAAATAAATATGTGTTTAGGAGCCTAAGACTGGGTGCTCAGATCTGAGGCCAAAGGTAATTACGTTTTACTGTGTTCTCCAAAAAGGCCCTTTACTGCATGTGTGAGGCTTGCACATCTACATTTCAATCCGTGTATTTGGAAAAACGCGGGATGATGTATTTGCATCACATGTGGGTGATGAAATACTTTCCAGCCCGTTAGGAACCAAGAGGATATTAAAAAACATTGCTTAGCAGTGAACACTTTAAAATTAACAGGTCTGGTGAACGTGCATTCAAAAGTCTTAAAAGAATTGGCTTTTGCTTACAGAAATTAATTTCCAGTCATTCTCTTTGTTATAGGAGTTACAGGAGAACAGATGAAATGTTGGTTTTGTGCTAGTTTTCTGTAAGAGCCTGATTTGGGTAAATGAAATCCAGGTTCCTTGATACCCGGTGAAGGGAGAATAGGGGGGCACTGACAATTAAACACTGTTAAAGTTAGATGTGTGCATATGTTTGAACATTCAATTTGACATCAGTGTACTGATGATGAGGGCAGAGCAGTGCAGCTAGGGTCGGGTGATACCCCAGAACCCTGAGCGTGTGTTTGGTGGTCTGTGGGATGTTGTTGAATGGAGGACCAGGGCTTTCCAAACCAGGAGCTCAGGGAAAGGTCACAATTCATTCATTGCCTGCTCAGTGCAGTGTCCCGGTTAAAGGGCTGACCTCGGGAGAGTTGTGAGCGAGTCTCTATCCCTGTGCCCTGTCGGGGTGGTAGGTTGTGCAGGAAACAAGGCTGCTGGAAGGAGATCTGATGGTGGGGCTGGGCAAACACCTTCCAGCGAGAACTTAAAAGTGCAAACCGTTTAGCTTATCTGGAGGATTGACAAGGGACTTGATTGCAGTGTGTAAATATCTTTGTGGGAAACACACTGGTTACTAACGGACCTTTTACTGCTTTGGAGAAAATCGCTGGTTCTTTTTATGTCCTTACAATGAAGTCAGATAAAATCCACTTAGAACCAAGACCCGTGTTTTGTAAAGGTGATAAACTCCTGAAACATCCTGCCCGAGGAAAGAGGTGGCTTTTCAGTGGGCACAGACCTCAGGAGTCCTCACGGGAAGTGTCCCTGAACAGATGGGGGATATGAGGGGGGCTGTTCTAATCCAGGTGGTTTTCTGATTTTTTTTTCTGGCTTTAACTTTCTGAAACCGTTGGTTTCAAGATAACAAAGGAAATTTTGTTCCATGGTTTGAGTGGCACTAAGGCCTTGAAAGAAGATCATGGGGAGGGTTGGGAGGTGGTTTGGAAGGGTTGAAGTCACCTGTCTGTGAGATGAAGGCTGCTGTGCCATGGGCGAGAAATCACCCAGACCTGGGGTGTCTCACAGATCCCAGGAGAGCCGTGCTGGGTTCCTGCTTGAGAGGGATTTGTTTCCATGCTAAGTCATCTGTGGTTGAAAAACAGAACCATTGTGAGTCGATGGAAAATAGATTATGCGAAATTGAATAAACATCGTTTCTTGGCCAGGGTACAAATGAGCCTGCACCACTGTGCCAAAGCTGCTGCCAAAGGGGACGAGGCAAGGCTGCTTGGGAGGGGTGAGGGTCGTGTTTGCTCTCCTCCACAGCCTCTGTCAGCTGTGGTCCCTCACCAGCAGCATGGGGGATTTGCCATGAGGGTGGCTGGGGAAATGTCCATGGGAAAGGCCCGGTGTGACCGGCCCCACTCACATACTGCCCTGCTGTGCTGGGGCACCTGGATTTGGAGATCTGGCCTTATATGGGGCCCTGAGCGAAACAGCCAGAAGGGGATCGGTGCCAAAAGTGCAGCGATAACATCTCAGAGCAGAACGCTCCCCCTTCAGGCGCAGGGAGGAAGGAGATGGGCTTCCCTGCTCTCCCTTTGGTCGGGATTTTTTAATTCAGTACCTTATAAAGTCATGTGTGACCCCGGGCAGGGCAGCAGTGGGGGATGCTCAGCACCAGGATGTGCCCAGCTCTGGGTGTTGGGGGGCTGTTCAGCCGGGCCCTCTCTGTCCCTAGGCAGCCACAGCTCACGCCTGCATCTCCTCATCCAAGCATCCAAGCAAGTCCTTAAAGAGCAAGAGGCAGTGGGCTTGTTCCTACTGAAAAAATCCTCTCTATGCAGCAGCTGAAGGGCTGGAGCAGGCAAAGTGCTGCAGCCAGCACTCTGCACGCTGCTCCCTGGATGGGATGCTCTGTGTAGTGCATCCTGGTGCCTTGCTGAGCTGTGGGGTGTGTGGCTCCTGCCTGTCCAGGGATGTGTCCACCAGCTTCTCTTGGGGCTGTCCGGGCAGGTCGGGCTGCAGTGACAGCACCTTCTGCCAAACGAAACCCCAAGGCATCCTCAAGCTGTACATTAGCATAACAACTAGGAGAGCAATGACTTTAATTGCCTGATGCCACAAGGGTTGGGGATAACAAGCAGTGGTGGCACTGGTCACACTCCTGTGTGCTGTTTTGACTCCCGCCTTCCATTATGACAGTCCTGGAAAACCGAACTCCTGGGATGAACAAGAGAGGGATGTGAAATAATAAATATTTAAATTTAACCCCTACATGCGGAAATATGAGCCCATGTCCCAGGTCAGAACCTTGTTGTTAAGTCACCTCTGGTCAATGATGAGTTAAAGGCTTTCCACAGAGCTTCTTGCAGGTTTAAGTGGGATGCTGCCAAGAGCGAGCAGCTCACGGGTTCTTGGTGCCGTTGCTAGCATCTGAGTTTATTAAACATGAATTTTAAAACTGTGAGGAACCTGTCACCATTTCCTATTTGCACTTCAGTCTTTTTGAAAACGGAGAGCAGACTGGCTTGTTTCTCACAGCTGAAGTGCTCAGTGTTTTACAGTCTTAAGTCTCCCTTTCTGATTTTCCAGCACCAACTCTGTTTAGGTTTCCAGCACTGTGATGTTTAAAACTCGAGCATACTGTTTTCCCTGAAACAATACTGGGTTTTGTAACTTTCTTTCTAAACAAATCTGAGATACTTTTGGCACGAATGTCCTGCCAAGCTCCTTCTAAACAAGCCTCAAGACAGGAATATATGGGTATGCCTGCAAAAGGCACCATGAAAGCATCTGGAAATGGTGGGGCTTGTCTTCTCCTCCTCCTGCTGCCTTTTCTGCCTGAACCCATCCTGTTTCCAAGCGTTCTGAGGGTGTCGATTAAGAGGAGAGGAAGGAAAATGCCATGAATTTTAAGTAGTGTGAGCCTGGGTTCACCCAGCGAGACTCCAAATTGGCAGGGGCAGAGCAGTGTCTGCGACATTCAGCCGTGGCCATGTGCTTTTCGCACAGCTGCTTTCAAGTCTGCTCCAGGGAAGCCACACTGCCCCAGGGAGCAGACGTTTGTGTGTGGGGGGAAGAAACAGGATCTGAATTTTCTTTGCCTTCCACCGCCTTGCCAGGAAGCACCAGGGCTGCGGCTGAGCCCGGCAAAGGCCCTGCAGCCTCTGGCTTCGCCTCCGCCTGGGCAGCGCACGGCGGGTGGGAAGGGAAGGGAAGGCGGGGGCTCGCTGCCATCCCTGCACCTGCTGTGCCGGTTTTTCTCCTCCACCTCTTGTTCTGTCTCAGCGGGCCGTGGTGGGGAACGGGCTCCCAGGGCTGGGCAGAGCCGCACAGATGTCAAGAAAGAGGTTTTTTGGCTCCCGCTTCTTTCTGGAGGCATGGAGACAAGCGCTGCAGCGTCACTGCTGTGGTGATGGTGGATGGCCTCTGGCCGTGCTGCAGGGTGGGTCGTGGCACTGGTCCTGCTCTAACCTGGGCACAGTGGTTGTGTTGCTACTCTGTTTTCCCAAGCCCATAAAGGAGGAAAAGGAAAAGTGCTTTGTGCTGGTAGAGATCAGTCTGGATACAGTGCCCAGTAACTCATGCAGCACAGAACTTAGAATGTCAAACCCTAAAAGGGCATTGAAAACTCCATTGCATCTCCCCCCACATTAATGATCCTCCCTTATCACTGCTTATGAATATGTCCCATTCTTCCACACCATGGTTTCCCCCCATGATCATTCATCTAAAGGCTGGATGTTCTTTCCCTTTTTGGCTTCAATTGGGGCAGATCCTGTTGGTTTCTTTGGCTTTGATGCATGAGAGTTGGGTCATGTGAGAGGGTCACGTCTGGCGAGCGAGGCCCCGTCACGCGGCCGGGCCGGTGTCATGAGTTTGGGCCGCGGGAGGAGGACGCGGCCTCTGGACGGGCTAGAGTCGGGCAAGCCAGCACTGACCCCCTTGTGTTCTGCCCTCCCGCAGTGACATCTCCATGCAAGATCCTCAAGTGCAACTCTGAGTTCTGGGCGGCCACGTCGGGCTCGCACCACCTGGGCGCGGAGGAGGCGCCGGAGTTCTGCACGGCGCTGCGGGCCTACGCGCACTGCACGCGCCGCACCGCCCGCACCTGCAGGGGAGACCTGGCCTACCACTCGGCCGTGCATGGCATAGACGACCTCATGGTGCAGCACAACTGCTCCAAGGATGGCCCCACGTCCCAGCCCCGCCTCCGGACATTGCCCCCCGGGGACAGCCAGGAGCGCTCCGACAGCCCCGAGATCTGCCACTACGAGAAGAGCTTCCACAAGCACTCGGCCGCCCCCAACTACACCCACTGCGGGCTCTTTGGGGACCCCCACCTCAGGACTTTCACGGACACTTTCCAGACCTGCAAGGTGCAGGGGGCTTGGCCGCTCATAGACAATAACTATCTGAACGTGCAGGTCACCAACACGCCGGTGCTGCCTGGCTCGTCAGCCACTGCCACCAGCAAGGTGAGCCTTGTCCCCCTGGACAGAGGTGGGCGAGGGCAGAGAGGCTTCAGGGCAGCCTTTCTTTCCTCCGTGTCTTCCCCCATTTCCACATCTCCTTGGGGAGGGTAAGACAGAGCCTGAGCTCCTCTGAATTTTAATGTCTGTCCCTCAATATCAGATGTCCATTGTTCTTTTGACCCCAGCCTTCCCTGAAATGTGGTTCTTGTTGAGCACATCCAGCTCCATCACAGTGGGCAGGCTGCAGGCCTCAAGGGACCTTCATGGCCAAGCTAGTGTAAATTAAGAGGTCTCCCACCTTGGTACTGCTGTGAACAGGATCAGAAATGATGCTGGCACCTCTTGGGGGACCCCCAAGGGCCAAGCAAACCCAGGACTGCCGTCCAGGGAGGCTCCAGCTTGCAGGAAAAGCCTGGAGGGAGCTGAGCTCCTCACTCTGCCTTCCCCTCTACCCAGGCTTGTAATTGTCTCTGTGGTTTCCAGCCAAGTCAAGACATTTTGTGGGGAACAGTCTGTTCTGGAGGTGCTTTGACAGACTAAATAAACATCCTGAAGGTACAAGGCAAACACAGAGAGCCCAAGTGAAAATGTGCTGCTGTGATACAGCAGGACTTGTGTGTCACAGGCTCAGCTCCAGGAGGGATCTGCAGCTGAGGAACTGGTGTGCTGCCCCTGGTGCACAAGCTCTAAAGCTAACGGGGCACTTTTTGTGCCAAAGAAAGAGGGAGGCTCAGAGGAGGCATCCTCTTGCTTTTGGAAAATGTCCTGTCCCACCATGTCTGGGAGTTTTGCTTCTCCCTGTGTGTGGGGAGAGCAGAGAAGCACGTGTAGAACAGGGGCTGCTTCTCTGCTCTGGATGTCACCCCTTTATCCTGAGCTGGAACTGGCAGTGACCTGTCCCAGATAAACCCCCTAAAAAATACTTAATGATGCTCTGATATCCTTACCTGCTAAAAGACATCAAAACCTGCTGAAGCTTGCAAGAAATTCTGGCTTGGGGAAAGTGGTCCTTAAGGATCCCAGGACCTGCTGGGATCGCAGGATCACCATCTTAATTGAGCCTTTTCTCTCCTTATCTGCCTCCAAGGCTTGTGATGAGGAGGGATTAGTCATGAGATCTGCAGCGTGAGCTGTGGGAAGCCCTGCTGTGGGCCCTGTGCTGCTGGAAACGATGGGAGCACTCAGTGCTTGGGGCTCTTTGTGTTCTCTGCTCTCTTCTCCAGCCCCACTCCACTCTGGCCAGGTCTCAGTCTCCCCCTTCACGGGGCCCACATGGCAGGAGGTCCCCTTTGCCTCTTCTCCCTTATGGGCAGAAAGGTGCAAGAAGCTGAAAGAGGAAACGTAGTTTGTACTGTTTGTACATGCAAATTCTACTCATTTTCCTCCCCAGGTCTTCCCTCCAAAATCCAGGCCAGCAAGGGAAGAGCAAGGGTGAGGTTCTTCCTCTGGAAGGGGCCTGTGTTTGAGCCCAGCCAGGGGTGAGGAGGCATGTTGGGCTACGTTTGTGTCATAGAATCATTAAGGCTGGGGAAAAACTCTTAGGATTGAGTCCAGCCATTAACCCAGCACTGCCAAGGCCACCACGAAGTCACCCCCAGAAGGGCCATCCCACTGGAGCAGGCTGAGCACATGTGTGCCTGTGGGGTTGAGATGGAGCAGGACGTGTTTGAGGGCCCATGGGAGAAATCCTGTTGGTCTGCAGTTGGTTAGGGAAACAAATTGGTCCAGCCCTTGGGATGTAAATGTCATGAGAGTCAGAAGAGAAGCTCCACCGCCTCCAAGGGAGTCAGGGCTCATCCCTGCTGCCATCTGCCAGCCCTGGAGGCAAGGCAGTGCTGCGTGCACGGGCATGCTGCCACAGGCCTGTGAGTAGGGATACTCCACCCAGCTCCAGCTGCAAGGAAGCTCCTGTGCTGGGCCTGGAGATAACAGGCAGATCCAGGTGGTGCATTCAGTCAAGCCTCTGGGTCTTGGATCTCTTCACAAGTGTCTTCACCCTTTGGCTGGAGCAGGATCACCGTGTCTGGGGGCTAAAAGTCAGGGCCACTTCTTAGGATGAAGAACGTGAGCCTGAAGGTCACGCTCCTGTCTGGAGTGAGCATCCAGCCCTTCCACCTCCCACCCCACTGCTGGTGGTGGCTGTGTGCTCTCAGGTGGTCATCACTGGCTGTAACCATGCTCCTTTCCTCCCCACAGCTCACCATCATCTTCAAGAGCTTCCAGGAGTGCGTGGATCAGAAAGTGTACCAGGCAGAGATGGACGAGCTCCCCGCTGCCTTTGTGGACGGCTCCAAGAACGGAGGGGACAAGCACGGTGCCAACAGCCTGAAGATCACAGAGAAGGTGTCGGGGCAGCACATCGAGATCCAGGCCAAGTACATCGGCACCACCATCGTGGTGAGGCAGGTGGGGCGGTACCTCACCTTCGCTGTGCGCATGCCGGAGGAGGTGGTCAACGCCGTGGAGGACCGGGACAGTCAGGGCCTCTACCTGTGCCTCCGTGGCTGTCCAGCCAACCAGCAGATTGACTTCCAGACCATCCGCTCGGCGCAGGCCTCGGAGGGCCGTGCCCGTCGGAAGGGGCCCAGCCTGCCCGCGCCCCCCGAGGCCTTCACCTACGAATCGGCCACGGCCAAGTGCCGGGAGAAGCTGCCCGTGGAGGACCTCTACTTCCAGTCCTGTGTCTTTGACCTCCTCACCACGGGGGATGTCAACTTCATGCTGGCTGCTTACTATGCCTTTGAGGACGTGAAGATGCTTCACTCCAACAAAGACAAGCTGCACCTCTATGAAAGGACACGGGTCCTGACCCCGGGCAACACGGCGCCCACGGGAGCACATCCCACCCTCTGGGTAGCACTGCTGTGTTTGTGTTGGTTGTGCTTGTTATAGAGGTTTGCTCCTTCACACCTTGGAGAGAAGGGAAAGGGGAGCAGGAGGCAACCAGGGATGAGATGCAGGTGTTGGAAAACAAGGGGTTGGACATCAGAGCCATGTGGCTTGTCTTCAGACCTCAGTCTCTCTCTTGGTGCAAGTCCTCCACCTTCCCAGCTCTTGCCTGGGAGGAATGTGCTGCCAGTGGGACCAGTCAGGAGTTTTTGCTGGACTGTACCTTGTCTGGACCTTCCTCACTTCCCCCTCCTCCTGCTGCCATTGGAGTGGGTGCTGGGGAGCCCTTGCAGCACTCCCCTGGTCCCAGCCGTGCACGTGGTGACTGTGACACTGGCGTGTGTGAACGTGGCTTTGTCTTCAGAGAGCAGAGCCCCTGAGGAGGGCACGGAGCAGTGAGACAGGACCTGGCCAGCACAGCAGGGCAGGATGTCCTGCTCACCAGGGCTGGGCTCTGCTTTTCCTGCTCTGCCCACAGCCCTGCTGTTGCAGAAGGTGGTGCAAGGGGCCGAAATGGTGGGCAATGATCCCACACTTGCTTGGCTGCTGATGCCAGGCACCTTCTGAGTGGAAGGAGGACACGTTCCTCAAGCCTTGGCCTGCATTTTTTGTGGTTCAAAGGCGTCCCCTATTTTATCCAGTTCACCTGGCTGATTCACTCAGTAGTTTTACTCCTGCCTCCCTTGTCTCTGCCTGGACCCACGGTGGACTCTTGATGGCAATGGGAGAAACCTGGCCAGTATTCAAGCGGTTTCTGCAACTTCTGCCCAGCATTGGATGAGTTCCTCACACCATTCACTCTCTGGTCCCCTGAAACTGGCAGCAGGGTGGCTGCTCAGTGGGAGACCCAACCTGCACCTCCCTCCAGCCCCTCCCTGCCTGTGGCTCGGCCTGGCCCAGCCCTGGGATGGAGCAGGAGCGTGGTGCTCTTTTTTTTGCTGCTAGGTCTCTGCTCTGCTCCCCATCCTGGGGCCGCGACTTGCAACCCCATTGCAGACCAGTTGCACCTTAAGCCCTTCTGGGCTTGAATCAGAAATGGGGCAATGTCAGAATTCAGCCAGGAGACGGGATGCAGCAGAGAACCCCCCCCAGCTGCCTCCAGATGTCTGTTCCCTGCCTCAAAACCATTCATAATCTCCTTCCCCCACCACGTAGTGCTGCCCATCTCCTCCACTCCACATTCCTCTGTGGTTCGCCCCATCACTCACTGAACAAACATCAAGACCACCTTTGGTCCGCGCCTTCCAAGACCTCCTGGTGGGTTTCCCCCACCTTTCCTCAGGGGGAAGTTCCCAGAAACAAGCCCCAAAACACATGTCACACTCGGGGGCACCTCCTGCTCTCAAAAGGGAGGTCTCTGGGCGTGATGAGACAAGCTTAGCACCAAAAGAGGTGGGAACAGGCTTGGTTTGGCAGTCTGAACTGGTGCCAAGAGGCAGCCTGGTGTAAATACTGAACATGACTATTCATTGTGTCCTTACAGCTCTAGAGCTCCATTTGTAAAGCAGCAGAGAAATGCAAACTTGTGTCAATTGATGTAATTTATATTGTCTCTTTAATATATAGAGCCCTGGCATTGATCTCGTGTGACTGTACAGATGAAAAGATGTAATTGGTTTTTAAATGTTTAAGGAAAGAAAAGAAACAAAAAGATGTGTTTACTACTTTGCTCCTTGCTTTGTTTGCTGATGCCCCAGATACTCTGTTTAGGGAGATTTTGAACTAAGGATATCACAGTTTGGAGGTGCTGAGGGGAGCAGCCACTGGACCACGGCACCGGACAGTTTCATTTCCCAATGCACTAATGCTCAGCCAGGCTGATTTGGGCTTTCTGTTTCCTTTGTTCTAGACAAAACAAATTTTTATATGCCCTAGAAGTTTAAAACCCACCTTTTAAAAGCCAAAATCTGTCTCTGGGCAGAGAAGAGGTTTACCCCACAGCTAAATGCAGCTGTGCACAGCCTCCCTGTGAGCACACAGTTCTGCTTGAAAGCTGTCTGAGCTGGCCCAGCCACAGTGTGCCAACAAGGTCAATAATTCCCTTCAGACCTCCCTTTCCTATAAAATAATCACCCATGGCATGGCATGCTGTGGTTTAGGGACAGTTTCCATCCAAGGAAAGTCTGGTTATGCCTTGGCTCATTCCCTCTGTCCTGGTGGGTGCTCCAGTGGTGGCTGATGCTGTGAGGTGGTTGGGGTATCCCTGTTTTAGAAGCAAACAGTGAAGCACTTTATTTTGGTTGTGTTTGACCCAGTTCTGGTTAAAGGTGAAGTGTGGCCAAGAAGGACCCGATACTTGGAAACAAACAAAACAAAACAAAAAAAACATAGGCAAAGGGGGGCCATGCTGAAAAGGCCCCCCCAGCTCCTCCCTGCGCTGAGACCCACGGGAGTGTCACCGCCTGTAAATACTGTAAATTATTTATTGAGAGAAACACAAGTAAAGTTTGAGGTTTTTTTGACAATAAACGAGTGGGTCTCGCTTTGTTCCCCGTGTGTTGCCTGGTGCTGTTCCCCACTCAGGATGCAAGTGTTGCCCCATTTCTGCACTCACTCCAAAGCAGCTTTCTTCCACCTGAAGGACCCTCTGAGAGATCATTTCTGTCCTGAATCCTACTGAGAATTTCACTCTGGAGTTCGATTTATCTACAGCCAAATGAGAAAATTAAAAAGGGGATGGACGTGAAAATACAGATAATAAACCATGAGAGCCTTGCCTCTGTGGGAAGGGAGATGTGCAGCAGTGGAGTCCAAGTGGGTGCCACCATCCTTCCCCTGCTCACCACAGCAGACTGGGGTGTACAGCCCAGTAGTGGTAATTCCTCCCTTTGTTGGGCAGCTCTCCTGTCCCAGCTGGGTTTGTTGCTGCCCTCTAATGAGGAAAAAGAAAATTGCATTTTTTTTTCTGTTAAAATTTCCATCTGAAGGGCGTCATTGTCACAGCAGCTGGGGACAGGGAGATGATGAGGGCAGGTGGGACACCCACACCAGCTCATAACACATTATTTGGCTGAATCCATGCAGCGATGCCCAGCCCCAGAGATGTGATTGACATCTGGCCTTCCCCTCCTTCAGAGCCCAGAGAACTGGCAGCGTTTGGGAAGAGCCAAACCTACTTCATCTGCCACTCCTTGCATGGGAGAAATGGCTAAATCTGAAAATTCATCTACAAAGTGCCCAGAGTGCAGGGGCCAGGGGTCTCCCTCACTGGCTGTTCTGCCAGGAGGTCACCAATGGTCCCCTGCTGTCCATCCTGGGACAGTGAGCAGGCAGCCCCTGCATGTTCCAGTGGGACAAAGTGCTGATGTGACCCTGACCCCTGAAGGATGCCCCGTCCCCATTAACCACACAAGGCAGCACAGCATCCCCAGGAGGTGAGTGGGGAAGGCACAAACTGTGCAGGGACGGTGGTGGTGGCAGTGGTGGCCTTGTGGCACCTGGGAGAGGTCCAAATTGCTCTCCAGACCATGTTCAGGGCTGGTGAGGGGGCAGCTCCTGGGGGATCCAGGGTCCCATTCCATCACTCTGTGATGGGCAGCAGCTCAAGTGCCGCCACCTGGGGCCTGGGGTGGGTTTCCAGCCCCACTGTGGCTGTGCCTGCCCATCCCCTGCCCCTTGGCCACTGTCTTGGGCTCTGAGTGCTTGGGGTGAGCCAGGACCAGCTGTCTGGGAGCAGCCACCACTGCAGAGTGATGTTTTTCACCAAAAATGGGCTTTTTGCTGGGAACCGACTCCCTCTAGAGGGTCTGCCCCATGTAAAGCACAGCCCTGTCCCCTCACTGGGGAGGGTGCAGGGCAGGGCTGGGGGAGACACCTGGCATCAGGGTGCTCACATCCTTACCTGCCTGCTTAAGTCAAAATAAAAACATTTAAAAAGTCAGTGGTCTCAGGTAGATTCACCCAGGCACGTAACGCCAGCCCAGCTCCTGCAGCCCCTGTGCCTCCCTGCAGCTGAGCCCCATGGCTAACAGCCAGTCACTCTTTCCATTAGGAAATCCATTTTTCAGGAGCATATAACTCAGCTGTGAAATTTCACTCTTGGCTGAAAGTTGGCTCAGCAGCAGAGAGACTGGGAAGGGCTGGACCCAGTGGCTACAGGTGTGAAAAGTGCTTTTTACAATGAGCTTTTATAACTTGGGAGAAATGGCTCCAATCCCTGCTCTGTGTGGGCCCCAGTGTGAGCGGTGGAGGGTAAAGACCAAACCAAAGCAGCCACTGCATCACATCCCACCTGGGGAGAGGCAAATCCTGCCCAGGGGGGGCTGGGGACAGAGAAGAAAACTCACTGAGGCAGCAGCAGCAACACTTCTCCTAGAGAAAGGGGAATTCTCCCCAGAAAAGGTAAAAAAAAAATTTACACATCCTCAGAGATCCATAAAATGTGGAGGGGGGATAAACACATAATCATCAGTATCATCCCAGTGAAATCCTGGTGGATCTGGGTTAGAGAATGTACAGCTCCTTCTGATCAGGTGGAAATTCCCATCTGAAGAAGCTTCCAAGTCTCTATCACCACAAACTGTGAAACTATGTAAAAACAGCCAAGCAGAACATGCTTATTCCTGCACAGTGAAAATATCCATGGTGGCTTGCCTGTGGCTGGCAGGAAAGGGCCCTGTCATCCCAAACCTGCCCCCAGACCTGCCACGGGACCCCCCAGAGACACCACGCTGGGGCCCTTCTGAAAATCTCAGTAACACTTTTTAATATACAAGAATCAAAAGTACAGCAGTTTTACAATGTAGGAAAATTTCATACATACTATATAAACAACATATTTACATCAGAAATCACTAGGACAGTGGCATTTCTTTCACAAATATAAATTAATATTAATTACTGTTTTTAGTCAACAAGTTTAAAAGTCCGTATTTTTACAGTAAGAGTCCTTCTCTCCCCAGAGGGGAGGCAGAGGTGGGGAGGAAACGGGTGAAAGCAGAAAAATATTTTTGTGTGGATCACAAACCATTCACACAAGGACTTCAGCACTCGGTTCCATGTCCATTTTGCTTGGGACCACATCACCTGTCCCCACAGCAAGTTTTGGTCTGCAGGATTTCCACCATAACTTTACACCATTTCCAAAGAGGTCAGGCTAAAAAACTTTTTTTTTTTTTTTAAATTGAACCCCAGCAAGTTACTGCTTTTTTCTGCCAAGAGGCTGGAGGGAATCCCAGAGCTGGTTAGGAAGGAAGCAGTACCAGTACCTTGTCAGATTTATTTCTCATTGACACATTTCCAAAGAGGTCAGGCTAAAAAACTTTTTTTTTTTTTTTATGCTCAACCCCAGCAAGTTACTGCTTTTTTCTGCCAAGAGGCTGGAGGGAATCCCAGAGCTGGTTAGGAAGGAAGCAGTACCAGTGCTGTACCAGTGCTGACACAAACACCACAGGGAAGTTTATGGCTGTGGATGTGTCCCCTCTGATCCCACTCACATCCCCGTGACTGTGTTGGGTTATGGTCCCTATGCTGAGGGGACATAAAATGCAGAAATGTGTGTGTGTGTGTGTGTGTGTGTGTGTGTGTGTGTGTGCGCGCTCAGGGAAGACTTTCTCCCAAATCTCCTTCTCCAGCTTCACTAAGCCAAACCCAGCAAAGACTCACCCATCATGAGTGGACATGATGTGACTTCAGCGTCAGGCTGAAGTGACAGTGGGGACAGCTCTCCAGTGGATGTAGGTAAAGCCTTTGCTGTTGCACAAGAAGGAAATCCCAACCAACCTCGTGCCTGGAACCTGGGATAAGCAGAAACCCCCACATCTGGACAGCGAAAATGCCTCCTGCTGGGATCCAAAGTTTTCCTGCACCAGCCCTCACACTGGTTGCCAGTATTGCCTTTGCTACACGAGTATGGCACAAACTTCCCACTGTGACAGCACCGTGACAAAAACAGCAATTCTCTTTGCCCCTCCCAGGCTGTCTCCATTTTCACATTAAAAGCTAATACCTCTGAAAAGAAAGGACCTCTTTGTTGAATATCACAGCCTGCAATCACAGCTTAGTGGGAAACACCACGGAATCGTGCTCTCTCCACACCTCCCACCCCTCCGAGGGGGACTGTGGAAGACTCGCCTTCACCTCACCCTGCACAGGTAAACACAAGTGTAACACTTGATCAGGGCAGCAAGTGCCCCTAAGGAAACAAAACTGCCCTGAATTCGGTGGAAATCTTGCAACATAAAAGCAAAAGGGGAACAAAACACTTCCCGTGTGTCCCCTTAGAGCAGCGGGACGGGGAGGAGTGATGGCAGCAGATTTCCAGGGATATACTGCATGGAGGAGTATTAGTGTCAGTTTGCATGTGCCTTCCAAGGCACTGGCTGGAGTCAGGAAGCCAGCCCTGAACACCCTCAGTCTTTTGGGGAAGGGACATCACAGCTTATTAGAGTCAAATACTGGCATCTTAACAGGAGGCCCAGCTTCTGTGCCCTGCCAAACAGGAGGCTGGAACTGCCTGGTCTTTAATACTGAGCTCAGGGTGGTGATGCAGCCCCAGACACCACGCTCAGGGCAGCCTTTGTGGTCTCCAGGGAACTCCAACCTGAAAAATAATCACCCAAGGTGCTTCTGGCCAGCAGGACGTGCACAACCAACCCCTCTCACCACACCAAGTGTCCAGGCTGGACACTGGTTTGCATCAAATACTGTGGTTTGAATACTTGGAGTGTTTGCCCTGAAGTCCACCAAGCTGGGCTGCACATTCCTCTTTTCCCTCTGCCATGCTGGGCTCTAAGACATTTGCTCCAAGGATTTTTACAGATCAGTCCTGAATTCCTCATTCTGTCCCTGCTCACTGAGGTGCTAAGTCCTCAGGTTCATTTCCAATTTAGACAAAAAAAGGTCTACAAGTGCAGGTACTTTTAGCAATTCAGAGTCACTGCTGACTGCTGGAAAGGTGGCAGGAAGGTGACCATTCCCTGAACAGTGACCACTCCACTGGATTCCTACTTCACTTTGTTCTACCATCCCCTATCCTTCAGTTACAGTACAGGTCTGTGATCACTGCTTTGTGAAGCAAAGAGAGAAGTGATTTGCCCAAAGACCAGAGACTTTAGTGGCAGAAAGATTAGGAGTTCCAGTATCCCCAGAGCCATCTTTTGATCTTGCACCTCCCAGCCACCATCCGTTAGTTCCTGGACCACCCATGCCAGAAGAGAAGAGTTTTGTTATGAATTCCTGAGCCCTGTACACTGGGAATTCTGTTCTCACATCAATTTCTTTCCTGATGGTTAGAAGTTAACTAAGCCTTTGCTAAGGATGTTGGCCCTTTTTCCCAGCTCCCACTTACCCCCAGAGTCAAGATTTGCCAGTCCCAGCTCTGGAGATGGGAGGAAGATCCCCCCACCTCTTCTGTTGCAGGGGACACAACAGCAATCAAAGCAGAGCCAGTTTTTTGAAATGGATAAAGACATGAAAATGATAACATGGCCAGGAAAGTGATGGATTGTCACCAGCATGGCTCCAGCTCCTTTGGAGTCATTCTGCAGGGACATCAAGTCCCTCTCTCAACCAAGTTTGGCTGCTGAGGGACTTTCCTGTCCCTCCTTGAACATATCCTCCCATTGCCCCATGCTGGTGACACACAAATCCCAGCCCAACCAGTTTATCCCCAACCCCAAAGCAGCATCTGTCATGTAACATCAAGTCAGAGCAGGCACACAGCCTTCTGCACCATCCTAAGCAGCATCAATCTGCCTTCTCCTTCTGAGGAAACACTGGCTGGAGAAAACTCCCTTGGGTCCATTGGACTGAGGAAAACAAAATCAAAACAAGAAACGAGGCAGCAAGGCTGGTTCCATGACAGAACAGTTCAATGGTAAAAAAGGGGAAAGGAGATGGGAATCTAAACCAGAATCAAGAACTAGGGAAAATCTTCCTCCACCCACTCCCCCAGGATCCTCCTTGACCCAGCCAGATGATAGCAGCATGTTCAGAGTTTCTCGTTGCTGGCCTGGAGAAAGCAGCCACCCCAGAATTCCAGATGCGCGCCTCGCCCTCTCAGTCGCTTTACGCTTTCCGAATGTTCCAGTTATAATCTGGATTGTTTTTCTGTTCCAATGACCTATCCAGAGGTGACCTGTGATCAAGAGGTGACTTGGAATCGTGGGGGGATTTCTGAGAGGGCGGCGAGCGAGGGTCCGACACGGCAGGGTGGGATGGAGGGAGGGGCTGTTTGTAATCCCCCAGTTTGTCTGTGTGGAAGGACCGGTAGTGGTCCGAAGGTCCTTGGCCATGGTAGCCCATGGGTGGCCTGTGGTCAGACATCCGCCGGAAATCCTGCTGGTGGTAGTTCTGAGGCCTGAAGTCGTCGGACCGTCGACGTTTGGAATCGTGGTGGTGCCTGTGCAGAGAAAAATGGATGGAGATCAATTCCCCAAGCCCGCTGAGGTGAGGGCAATGTCTTAGGCTGGAAATGGGGGTGTGTATTCTATTCCTATCTGTGGAGCAGTTACCTTCTGTTAATTGAGCAGTTTTTCTTTATCTCTTTCACAACCCACCCTCCCTCTGGGGAGATATCTTCTGTTCATGGCCAGTGAGTGTCTCTGCATGACTGATAAAATTACATCATCCCATTGGGAGATGCTCTGCCCAGGGGGAGGAGCCAAGAATTCCTACCTGGACATAATCAGAGATTTGGAACACCTCAGGCAGCCTTTCCCACTGGATTCCCAGAGGAGCAGCCCTTTCCCACTGGACTCCCAGAGGAGCAGCCCTTTCCCACTGGACTCCCAGAGGAAGACCAGGCTCATCTACACTACCACTGGAGGTACTACTACCTTCCTTCAGAGGAAGACTACACCCTTCTCTAGGATCTCTGCTCCAACAGAACCACACCTGTCACTGCAGGAGGACTGCAGCCACCATTTAATGGGACTGCCACCAACACCCTGGTGACAGGTTGTATTCTGACTCTGCCACTGTTTTTTTGTATCACTGCATAATTTATTTGATTTTTTTTATTTTCTTCCCTAATATAGAACTGTTATTCCTCCTCCCATATCTTTGCCTGAGCACCCCTTAATTTCAAAATGATAACAATTCGGAGGGAGGGGGTTTACATTTTCCATTTTGGGGAGGCTCCTGCCTCCCTTAGTCGCTCCAAACCACGCAGGCCATGGCTCACCTGTCGTAGTAGTCGCGGTGGCCCCTGTGGTCTCGGTCGCTGTTGTACTGCTCGTAGGGCCTCTTGCGGGACAGGTTGTTTGGTCTGTAGTTCCCGGAGCTGCGGTGGGGCTCCCCCCGCGAGCGCCGCTCCCCGTAGTGGTGGTCCTTGTACCAGTGCTGCTCGTACTGGTGGTGCCGCTCCCCGCCCCACATCTGGTTGCTGTTGCCGCCGTAGTTGAACTTTCGATCCCTCTGCCAGTCTCCTCGGTCTGCCACGAGCAAAGAGCGCCTCTGAGTCTCTTTAGTGCTTTGGTTTAAGCCCATCTGCTTCCCTGAATTCTCCAAGAAATAATAGCTATTGACGCCCCTTTAGCTTTCTCCTCCCTAAACGACGTGGGCCCAATTTTATTCTTTGAATTTTGTTGCCACATTTCTCTTCACAGAGAAAAGCAAGGCACAATTCTTCCCAAGAATATTTCTGAGATTCACACTCTCTGAACATTTTCTTTCAAAGAAAGAAAACACAATTTTTATCTTGTTTGCTCTGCCTGTGTTTGCCAAAGTAGAATACAATATAAAATTTATTTACTCAAAGTGAAGATGGTTTGTTCCCTTGGCCTATCAGGGCCAAGAATGTGTGTGTGTGTGTGTTGGGACTGTCTACTGACAGTCATGAAAGAATCACAAAATGAATGCAAAGTTCTGTGCAGTTGTGTGCAGAGTAAATACTTAACAGATTCGGTTTAGATGAAATGTATATAATATAGTATAATACAGTAATTAATTAGCCTTCAGATAAACTAGAATTCTCCTCATCATTCTCTCCCCTTCCTCAGGGGTCCCCCATGCAGTAATAGAACTTTGTTACCACTATTTCTTTGTCATCCTCGCAAATCTTCCTCTATCCCATTTTCACATTCTTTTCCTCACTATATCACCATGTTTCCTAGCCCAGCAATAAGTACAGTGGTATTGTATGCTCTATCCCATCCCCTTTAAACCTGAGCAGCCACAAGTCCCAGAAGGATTTGTGTCCAGGAGCATTAGGTCACAAGGGAAGGTTTCTCCTGGCCTGCCGGCACTCACCTGTGTTGCTGAAATGTCTCTTGTTTGGATGGCCGTAGTTGTCCCGGGGGTGCCCGTGCATCTGCTGCTGGGTGTGGGAAGGGGGCATGTGGATCTTCTGGGAATGAGGATTGTGAGGCACGTGGGACTGGGACATCACGGAATCGCGGCTGGAGCCTGAAGGCTCGGGGCGGAACGGCTTCTTCATGCTGGACATGTCCTCCTTCTTCTTCTGCTCCTGCAAGGTGGAACAGAGGGATACAGCTCAGCTGCTCTCCCACCAGAAGAGCAGGACTGTGAGCAATGGCCTTGTCTGCCAGGCTCTGGATTTTCCTGCCTCTTTGAGGTGAGCCAACTCTGTGCTCAGGTTTAGCACAGTTTGGCAGCTCTGCTTCTACACCCGATCTCTACAGGGCAGCACGCCCAGGCTTTTCACTCCATAGGGCAACTGAACATCACATGCCACACCAAACAATGCTTTTGCTTGGTCAGGACAGCCAGGACAAAGTGACCAGAAATGCCACATGAAAAAGAAGGCAAATGCACTCAGACTGTTTAGGTGTTGAGAAAATCACAGTGCCAACAACAAAGAACACCCACTATAAGGGGCAGAAAGGATTGGCACTTCCAGTGCAGCAACTTTTAAGGACAGAAATCAAAGGGAAAGCACTTCAGCTCTCACCTCCTCTTCCTGTGATCTTTTCTTATGAGCCATCTTGTAGAGTTTGTGTAGTTTTCTGGCATCAAATTCTGTGAATTTTGACACAAATATCCACAGGTTCCTAGAAGGACATGAACATTTTCTGTTAAGAGCTACAGCAGCAGTTTAACTGCCAGCAGCTTCCAAAGCAACATCAAATTCATTCTACCCTATCTGGAAAACAGTCTCAGTCAGGACAGGATGATCAGGAGGGCTGGAACCACATCTTCAAAGTAAAATAAAGAAGTTTGCAGTGGTTTATGTGATTTAGCTTTGAAATCAATTGTAATGAAACCAGGACAACTTGAAGAGAAAACATTTGCCTGGGGGACTGGTGATAGAAGATCATCCCTCGAAGTGTTCAAGGTTCAGGCTGAATGGAGCTCTGAGCAACCTGGTCCAGTGAACTGGATCCTCTGTCCCTGCCCATGGCAGGGGGTTGGAACTGGGTGATTTTTAAGGTCCCACCCAACCCAAACCATTCCATGATTCTGTGATTCTGTAGGCTGAGTGGACCAGAAGACACAAGATTTCACGGGTTAAGTAAGAGGTAAATGGCACATCCATCCACAAAAGAGCCAGCAGCCTCTGACTACCATTTCAAAATATCCTAGACCAGCTAAGGAAAACAAAATGATCCCTCACCTTCTCCACAGCTTGATGTGATCCTGGTCAGTGTAGGCTTTAAGGCACTCAGAGATGCGATCACCAATTTTCAGCAGGCAGTTGCGCGTGTGCTCCAGCTGTTCTTGAACTGTCAGTCCCTTATCAGGCTTATCAAGTTGCTTCAGTGCTTTTTTGACTGGTCTCATCCTTTCCTTGCACTTGAAAGAGCAACAGAGAGGAGAAAGTGATTAATTTGGCAGAAGGCTCTACATCATTGCACTGTTAATCGAAAAGAAGCTCGTTTAGCTTTATCTGGCCATTAGGCAAGGAGAAATCAGCTATAAAATAGCAAATTGTTAGACAAGCTGCAGACAATAGTCAGTAAAAGACAGGAGTCTCCCCACCTCCACTGCCCCTGCCTTTTAGGAGGGAACAATTTGCTTTGCAAGCAGTAACTACACACAGTCTGCCCCTGCACAGATCCCGTGGCAGGCAGGGAAGTGTATCCAAGCCTCCACACACTGAACCAGCCACCCCAGCAGAAACACTGCTCAATTCAATTCTGTGCAATCCCATCTTTGGTCACTTTAATGCTTGCTTTTACCAAAACTAGCAGACATGAAATGAAAGCACCATGTTTTTCGGCCTGGGCACATCAACACCGTGCACAAATAGGAAATCAGACAGGTTTTTTGACTGCCTGCCTGGATCTTTTGTACATCACAGAAGGAAAGTTAAAGAAAAAGACAAAAAACCCCACAGGACCTGCAGCAAATACAGAGATTACATTGAGAGAACTGCTTTTAAGAAGTGGTATTTCAGCCAAGGAGAATCTACCATGACAACTTTTACTAAAAGGCAATTTTTACAACAAGCCTTGTGGGCATGTTTACTTTGAGAGCATTTACACAGCTCTGCACCTCCTACAAGGTCACCCCCAAAACTCTCCTGCATTTCCTTGCCTGAAAGAGCTTCACTGGCTCCTTGGCTTCTACAAGAGAGGCAATATAAGGCTGCAGGGTGTTCTGTAACCCAGGGCTGCCAGCTGAGCAGGGGAAGTCACCAGCTGAAGCACAGAACCCCTGTGCTTGCTCTGCTGACAGGATACCAGCTGGCAGCACTGGTGGGCAGCTCTTGTCCAGGGTTGTCCTGCCCTGCTCTCAGATCAGCCAGAGGAAACCCCTGTGGGACACTAGGAGGGGGGTCACACCCCTACACCTAAAACACGTCCTTGGATGACATCTGAGCAAACCTTGGCTACCTCACTGAGCTCTCAGCACTGCCTTCCCATTTCCCAAGGAAAATACTCACTATGCTGAATGTTTCTTGGTCCAGATCATCATCCTCGTCTTCTCCAATGGGGATTGGCTCGCTCCCTGCAGTGATGTGGACAGGACCCTGTGATCTCTTCCCTTTACTTCCAGATTTGGCCTCACCACCTTTAGGCTTTACAAGGACAAATTACACACATCACGCCATGAGCCAGAATGGAGGATCCCCAGTGACCCAGCTAGCAACCTCCACACTATTGTTACTGGCACTTGCTAAACCTGGGCACTGTTCCTACAACTTTCCTCCCAAAATCTCCAACTGCTGAGCTGCAATGGCTCTGTTTAGCTTTATGTCATCCATGAGGGAGCAGGGAGAAGTCAGAGCCAACAGTTTGGACACGAATATGATATTCACACTCATGGGGAGAAACCAATGTTGAAGACTTGGAAGAGAGGTTAAAATAAAGAGTACCTCTCCATTGCAAAGGACTGAGCTCAGGGTAGTGTCATGTCTACAAGGATCTACAACTTTTTGTGATACCACTAGTTCTCAAATCATGGCCTGTTCATGTACATTTTTACCTATATCACACCAAAAATCACTGGAAAGCAAACTTTCCCCTACATAGGCAACAAAACTTCTAAATTTGCACTTATGACCTCAGTGTCAAAACACACTGGGCATGTAGTACATACCTGTTCCTTGGACAGGTACTTCAGGTCATTATTATGGAAGCTTTTACCCCCCTTCCAATTTGCACCCAGCCTCAGGGCAGTTGTACCCAAAATTCAAGAGACATTTGAGTCTCCAGCATACCAGTGATGTTGAAACACTCATTCTGTTGAGTCCTGAACAGTGACAATGACAACTTACAGTCTTGATGGTGTGGACACTTGGGTCATTTGGGTGAGTTTAAATTAAAGGGCAATACAGACAAGGACCTCCCAACCCTGTGATAAATCACAGCTGGACAGAACTTTGATCTGACTGCTCCAGGCTCTTTCCTTAGCATCAGCTCTGTGGCCATATCCATGTCACAGGAATGGCTGTACTTTAAAGGCAGCCTGACAAAACCTCTTCCATTTTGGTCGCATTCCACAAAGCTTTAGAACACATCGCCTTTTCTACTTTTTATGCCAATTCAAAAGGGCTGAAAAAGAGATACCCCCTCACCCCACAGGGCCCTTAATGAATCCTAAGTCTCACAGTTTGTCCTGCTCAGGGACTTCCCTATCATGCTGCTCCTGAAAGTACCACATACCTTCTCTTTCTTGTCTTTTGTCTTCTTTTTCTCTTTATCGCTTTCCTTTTCTTTCTTAGAGGATGTCTGTTTCTCCTTGTTCTCTTTGTTCTCTTTCTTCTTCTGTTTCTTTTTCACTGGGCTCTTGTCCAAGCCATCCTCCTAGAACATCAGTCACAGCATAAAGTTGGAGTCCCTCACCTCATGTACATTTTCTTCCATAAAACATCCTTAAAACACAGGCAACTTTTGAGGCCCATCCAAATTTACCCTCACACCTCTTTAAGCAGACATCGAGCCCAGCTCAAGCAGCTGCCATCCCCCCAAAGGTGACAAAAGGGTATGAAAACCAGACCAGCCCCACTCTGTGACAAGCTGGCAAGCTGCAGAGCAGCCTGCTCTCCTGTGCCAGCTGCGCTCCAGAATGATCAGCCCCTGAGGTAGATACTGATCAGCACACGAACAAAAAGCCTCAGACTGCAAGCCAAACCACTCAAAGACTGAACGTTTTCTAAGCAACAGCATGACCTTGGTAAACTCCAGCTTCACCACGGGCTGACGTGCCCAAAAGGAGAGGGAAACAATTCTTCTTTCTCTCCTTTATAAGGGCAACGGGCTTTGTCCTGAGACAACCTTTCCCCCGAGTCAATGTGTGGATGTTTGTGGCCATTCTGGGATGCCCCAAATCCCTTAAAGCACTGAGCTAAAAGAATAGGTGGGAAAGGTCCTTCTTTCACACCAACAGCTGTATGGGTGGTTTTGTGAGTTTGCCAGTCCTGTGGGAATTCACTCTTAGTGCCTCTGACTCCTGGGGACTTTGCTGGGAATGCTTCCCAAGGTGAGGCTGGGCAGTAACAGCACAGCCCAAGGAAACCTGGAAAAGCCACTGTTCACCAAGGCTGACTCACCTTGACTTCACCTTCTTCTGACTGGTTGTCTGAGTGCCGAGGAGAGGAGAGTTCATTCCCATGCTCATCTTTGACTTTGGGAGCCTTGTTCTCTTTCTTCACTCGTGGTTTCCTCTTCTTTAGCTTGCCCTGGTAAAAACATAGAACAAGTCAGGGAAAGCAAATAGCTACAGCGATTTCCTGGGGACATTTCCCATCTCCTGAGCATTGTGCAAACAGCTGCAGGTCCTGAGGCTGGCAGGAAAACTGATGAGCCCAAATCCTTCAGGAAGAGCAGTAATAACCTGCCTCTTATTTATTATCATTTAAATTATAAATATCACAATGCAGTCAGACAATAAGTTCATATTCCTTCATAGAAATTATGTCTGGTGACCTGGGAACACAGGGTGTCTCCTGCTATCAGCCAACCACTCCCCTTGAAACCCTCAGAATCAAGCAGCCACATCTCACCTCTTCCCCATCTTTCATGTTTTCTTTCTTGTCCAGATCTTTTTTCAGCAGTTTCAGTAGATAATCAACTCGGGTCTGGAGCTGTTTTCCCTGAGGTTTCTTATCTGTCTCAACTGGTAGGATCTTTGATAAAGCAGAAAAAAAAAATACATATACCCATAGGCACAAAGCTTGACAAAAGATTTACACATTAGCAGCAGCCCTTCCAGGCCCCGCAAAGGGCAGCAGATGCTGCACCTTCTAGGGCAACAAGAAGGCTCAAACCTTCCTTCCCCCTCTCAGACTGTCCCTGTCTGGCCAAAGGCAAAGCTCCTAGCAAGCAAGCATCTCTCCCCTTGGAATACTGCAGAAGTTAAAGGATCCCAAGCCTTGCAAGCTTGCTAAGTTCTCTTGAAGAAAAAAAGGTCCTTTACAAGCTATATTTGGGACCTCAAGTTGCAAAACTGAGTCCACTCGCCTTGACACCTCAGATTTGTTTGTGACAGCTTGGTCACAGCAGCCCAGTCACTCTGGTAACCTGAGACACTGCTACAGCAGGGGCACAGATGAACAATTTTGAGTGGAAAACAAGGCTGAAAGGTGACACTTTGTGGAGGAAATAGCTCAGCTTGCCAGCTAGGTTTGCTTCATACTTCACTGGAAAATGGGTGGCGTGTTTCAGGCAGCTGTTTCCATTGCAAAATGCCTTTCTGAGCTCCACACATGGAGGGATCTCAGGCAGAGCCTGACCTTTGCTAAAAGCACCAGCAGGGATGTCAGGGGAATGCTGCACGCTGGCAGCAAAGCTGGTGTGGAGACTCCCAGTGCTCCTCAGCCCTGTGCTGCAGTTTCCACACTCTTTCCACCACACTGACACAAGGGATGGTGGATTATTTTTAACCCAGATCATTTCAACATGGTGCCTGTAAACTGTTCTTGCGGGGATGACTGAGGAACAGAGGAACTAGATGGAGGCTTTCCAGCTGGCTGTGCTGCCATTCCCAGTCCTGTAACCATACCCTCAAAGCTAACACGGACCAGCCTTGACACAAGCAGTGTCAAATCTGTGAAAAATTATTTCCACTGAGAAATTCACACTCAGCTTCTTGTGAGATGCTCAAGGAAACATCAAGTCACAGCCTCTTCCATCCTGTGCATGGAACCACGCATGTCAGCACTGCCATTTTCTGCCTGCATCACTTCAGTGTGGTTCACCTGGTACTGCCCCCCAAATGAGACAACTCTGCTTTCCACAGAGCATGCAACATTCCATGAAGGCCACTGTTTTCCTCAATATGATTTTTGGAGTAGTTACCAACATAAACATCTGTTTCTGGAGTAAATGAGGTGTGTTTGCTATGGGCACTGCAATGCACCCAATGGAAGCAGCAAGCAAAGCAACCTACCTTATCAGACAACTTCAGCTCCGGATCTGTTTTAATTAGCTCCCAGTTTCCATAACCATGCTCGTAAATTCCCACTAACAAGCGAGAATCCTCCTCCACTCCCCAGTCTACATCAAAATGAGCAGCTTTGACACGGCACGTCAGGCGGTACCTAAAGGCATTTCAAACACGAGCTACTTTTAATGCTGGACAAAGCAAATCCACACATCCAGGTTATTCTCTTTCCACTACAAAATCCAAATTCCCTGAGCCTCTTTCTGCATTGCCTACTTAGCCAAACTCACTTCTTCCTTTCCTCTGGGTCCGAGGGAATGGATTTGTGCAGCATTTCAAACTCCTCTTCGTGCTGGATGATGGATTTCACATTGACTTGGACACCAGAAATCTTGATGGTAGGACCTCGTCTCTTTCCAGGTCCTTTCCCTGCTCAGCAATAAAACACAGCAATTAAGAGAACTCTTACAGAAGGAAGTGTTTCTGTAAAATGGCTTCATAGACAGTGATCAAGACCTTGCCTGCAACCTCTTATTTAAACATAAGGCCGAAAATATAAATTTTCTTCCACTAACTCACTTAGATCTGCAATCTGAACACCTCCCAGTACCATTTTCTTAAAAATACTTCTAAGTACACTGGAGCTGTTGATTCTGCAGTCTTGGTCAGCTGCAACAGGCAGAGACCCAGGAAATCCATCCCTGACTCTGTATGTCCAAACAAACAGCAAAGAACAGCCAGACAGAGAGTGGGTGGTGATTCCAGCTCTGGGAATTGCTAACTGTGGACCCAGCTTTACCATAGAGTACACAGCACAGTTTGATTTCCAGTCTCAGGAGCAGCTGAAATAAGATCTGCTTTGCTTTGTGGCCCAGCATTTAATGAGCTGATCACTTCAGCCTCTGCCCACAAAAACTCATGTCCAGCAGAAAACAACAGACCCAAGTGGCACTGTCCAATCTGAGCAGAAAGCTCAGGGGCTTTCTGTGGGTGAGAGGTGCCTGGCAGAGATGGGGTGGTTTAAATGTGTTCTTGTTCATTGCTTCTAAATCACAATGTGGCCTCCCTGTGAAACCTCCATGGGAATGATTTCCTCACAAGCTCCATGGAACACTCCCAAAACCACCCTAAGAGCAGCACACAACCCCCTTGCCTACCTTCTGCTGGATTTTCCTTCAGCTGCTCCTCATATTCCTGCATTGCTGACACACAGCTGTTGTGGATGAGCTCCCCTAAACGCTTCAGGTCAGCCACAGACTTGTCCACCAGCTCAGCATCCCGGGCAATGCACTCCAGCCTGGGAAAAGGGAGTTTTGTGTGTGATAGAGCAGCTCTTCTCTCAATCACTTCCTATTCAATTGTTTCACAGCTCAGTGCTGTACAAATGTGAATGTATAAAACATGCATGAGTTGAGTTCATGCAGGAAATAACCCAGTCTTTGTCTTTTTTTGGTCTAACAGCTGCAGTGCAGATGTAGAAAAACAGATCCAATCCTCTGGATTTTTTAGTACCAAAGCAAAGGTGAGAACTCTATCTTGGGGACAATAGGGATCCTTTGTGACTGTCCAGTATTCCCTCAGGCTTTTCCAGTTCCACATGAACTCCATTTGATGTTCCAAAGCTGCCATCTGCTGTCCCTTTTGCCTGCCTGAAGTCAGGAATATCAAGACTCACAATGCAAGCCTTGTGTTTCATACCAGGAGAGCAGAACCAGCTGAAAAAGCACTGAATTTCTCCTATAATACATTCAGGGAACTCTGCCTCAGCCCTGAGACCTTTCCAGAGCCTGCACAGGGCCAGGACCCTGCAGATCCAGGTTTAAGGATGGTGCCTCTCTTTGTTTCCCTTCAGGAGGGACAGAGCAGGGAGAGATGCTCCACATTCAGTCCTGAGGCTAACGTGCATAGAGAAGCTTGGCAAGTGCTTTGGGTAGCATTTGTTTTTCTGACAGCTGCTCCCTCTCCTTTCTGGGCAGAGTGGGAATGCCCCAAGGGCAGGACTGTGCCAGCAGGACCCTGCTGTGTCACAGCCTGGCACCACGACTGCTCCAGCTGGTTTTTGGCCAGCACTCATCAGTGCCCATCAACAGAGACACCAGGGAGTGCACAGCAGTGCCTGGGGTCTGATGGCAGGGCAGCAAGGCTTGTGCTGTCTGTGCAGGTTGTGTCAAACACCCAGAGCAATGTGTGCCTGGCTGTGCCCAGAAGCACAATGTGCCTCCATGATTCCCCTCTGGAGCAGGTTGGGACTCACCGTTCAAGAGGCAATCCAAACTTCTTGTAAGCCTTGATAAACCTAAGGAGAAAAAAAACAACAAAAAAACCCCCTAAACTAGCTGTCATAAAAAGTAGGTCCAATATCACAAATGTGTTTGAATATATTAATTACAGCCTGTCACATTATCACCCTTGCATTCCCCACTGATCAGCTCAGCATCCCCCAGCACTGGGAAGCCTCATCCATTAGCCCCCACAAAGAGTTTTGTGACCTTGGCTGAAGAAGAACACAACATTATTATGAATGTTGAGTGTTTGACAGATGAGGGGTAAAAAAAAAAGGAGAGTGGTAACTGTAGGGAAAAAAAAAATAGAAGAAAGCATTGGCTCACACCATGTTGGTAATTATTAACTTCATTTTTCCAGGAAGAAAAGAAGCATTAAATCAATGTCATTAGTAATTTTAAAGCTCAGGCTGTAAATGTAGCAACCCATGACAGAAGAGCCAAATGTGGTTCAATCCATCACAGAGGTTTGCAGATGAGGTTTGCCATTTATTTTCATGTCTTATTTTTATTGTGAAAATCCCTGCTGTGGCTAACACATCTTTAGAGCAAGAGTTGCTGCAATCAAACATTGCCTTGAGCTGGGAGTAGACACAATGGCTACAACTACAGGTTATTTTTAAAATTAATTAATTTTCTGCCTTCTTATTTTCATTTTGTATTCTTTCAGCCCCTTTCTGCTACATCACAATAACATAAATGGCTGTTATATTGCATATTTGAACATGTCCTTCCTGCTCCATGGCTTTAAGATGGTTATGGGGCAGCTATCACAGCCCAAAAACTCTGTTATCTCCTGCTTAAAAATACACCAGCTCAGAGATAGAGAGTTAAGGAAAACTCATAACTCCCTCTCTTCCATCTTTGGCTGAACATCTGGGTAGAGCTGTAAGACAAAGATCTCTGGAAAGATTCAAATTAGAAGATAGGAGAAGAAAACAATGCTCTGAAATTCAGTCTCCAGCTGACATCAGAGACTGACACACTCTGGATCAACAGGACCAGTGCTTCTCATGAGGTCATTTTGCCAGAGCCTGCCTTTCACTGAGAGCTTAAATCAGCAGGATGACTGCCAGAAAAGTGTCAGGAAGACCAGAGCCCCTGGCTTCTCCAGCTCTGCAGCTCATGGCACCTAAACATGTTATACAGCATTAGCTCCATCCATTGGCCCACAAAGGGCAGTTACAGCATGGATTAATTTTAGGAAGGTACCAGCTTCACTGTGTCCTAACTAAAGACAATCCAGTCCATTCTGCACTGACCTGAATGTTAAGGTCATCAGCTGGGATCAAACTGAATTATATAAAGGTGCCAGTGAACCAGCTCTGCCTAACCACTGACGTGCTTACAGGTGAACACATCCTGGATTAATCTGGGATTTTCTCCACCTGCATGGGATTTCTATATTTGTCTTCTGAACTGTCTCTTGTGCCCAGCACTGACCTCCTGATTTCAGCATCAGTAAAGCCTTCCACAGTGTCTTTTCTCACACTCCGAGGGCGTCCCCTGCGCTTGGGTCTCTTCTCGTCGTCGGTGTCGTCGGTCTCGCTCTCCGACCCAGACGATCTCTGAAGCCTCCTCTTGGTCTCTGCATCAGACTCACTGTCATTTGTCTGAGCCTGCACGTGCCAGAGAAACAGCAGGACAGTTAAAAACTGCTCATCTAACCAGCTAACAACCTCTTCTGTCCCTCCGTGCACTGGCACTATTTAAAGGACTGTAAACCACTGAGCATCCATTGCTGAAGATGCAGGAGCCCATGTGAGCTGCCCAGAGAGGCTGCACACCCTTTGCAGTTCCCAGCTGGCTGAGGCTGTGGTGGTCATCCTCCTTTTACAGCCACCAGTTTCACAATTGCATTTTGATCTGCTAGGAGATGTTAAAATATTGATTTCCATGGGTTTGTGCCACATTCCCTTAGACTATTTTGAAAACCAGGACACCTCAGAAACCCGTGTGGATTCATCCAATATGAATGATCCTTCTCTGGGTTTTTCATATAAATGTTTTTCCCCAGAGCTCACCCCATATAACCCCTAAAGTCCCACATCCCAGCAGAGCATCCTCTCACAGTCAGCCTTCTTTTGGATTGGGGTAGATCCCATTACATAAAGAAGAACTTGGGAAGACACCATCTCTTTTGCTCCTCAGGATCCAGATTTAGGCAAGAGCCACCCAGTGGGCTAGAGAGCCCAAGGAAAAGAGACAGACAAAAATGGCAAAATCTGCAGCAAAATCCAATACAATTGGGTACTTTGCTTTGTGGTCACTACAGATTCTTTTGATTTTGTCCGCTAAGGTGAGATGAGTCACACCAAGTCCAGTCTGGGCCCTCAGGCTGCATCCCAAACCATTGCTCCAATGCACAGTGCCAACAAGAGGTCACTGTGCTATCTCTGTACTTTATTCCAGACCAACTCTGGAGGAGATAGAGATGCTCAGATGGCAAGGAGGCTGCCCCTGAGCATTGTCTTTGGCAGTTCTCTCCTCCAGCCTCTCATCCCCTCAAGATGGGCTGTACCTTTTTCGTTGAGCTCCGGATTCGAGGCAGCATGTAGATTTCCTCCAATTCTTTCTGCCTTTCTTCCTCCTCCACCTTTTTCCTCTGCTCTTCTGGAATGATATCATCCCAGTCCTTCTGGGACCGCTCATCCAGCTCTGTCTCTTCCTCCTCCATGGTTGCAAAGTTGGCAACCTTTTACAAGCAAAGGAGAAGTTTTAGCAATTCCCTCCCCTGGCAGGAGCACCCCAGAGCTGTCTGCTAAGCCTCAACTTCTCCACAGGAATTCTGCCAACACTTCCATAACTACTCCATAATTGATCCCTATGCCACTGCATTCCTGGCTCCTTGCCTCGTCTTTGGACTAACAGCTTTTGAGGAAGTACGTGCAGTTTAAGAAGTACTGCTGAGTATTTGTAAATTATTGGGTTTGTTTCCAAATTTGGTAAATTCTGCATTTTATTCACAGCCTTCAAAACCACTTTCCTGAAATTAAATTAATACCTACCTCAGAGGTGTTGGACCTGGATGATCTCTAAGCTCCCTTCCAACCCAAACCATTCTGTGACTCTGAGATCTCTGCGAGGTGTTCCTGCCTGTTCCTGGCCTCACCTCCATGGCAGGGTGTGGGGAGCCACGCTCCCACAGCCCAGTGCAGAGCCTGGAGTCCATACCTTGAACTGTGAGAGCAGCTCATCAGTGGCACTGGTGGACACCTCATTCTCCCGGGTTTCAGCCAGACGCAGAATCTCGTCGATGTCCATCTCCTGCCAGTCAGGGAGAAGGAGGGATAAAGCAGAGGGTGCCAGGCACAGCAGGAAGTAAGAGGCTTTGAGAACAGGCTCGTGTGCTGATATGAGCTAAATAAAGTGCAAATATCTGCAGGGTGTCATCCCAGAGGGCAGGGATGAACTATCTCAAGTATAACGAAGTACAAATAAGGTGACAGAACAGAAGGAAAGGACCACAAAGGCTGAACAGTGGGGAAAATTTCCAGGCAGTGAGATGTATGAACTGTAGACTGTTTCCCTGGGGAGAAGCTCTGCTGCTTGGGCCATTAAGAGAATTGGTCAAATCACTCAGTGCTAAACTGTCAAGCAATGTTGCACTAAGGCAGGAGAGAGCAACCTGTTTACTGCACTCTGCTGACTCCTGCCTCGCTCAGAACCACCAAAAAAGGGTGCTGAGGAAATGCTTAGAAGAGACAGGGAGAGGAGCCTTCAACAGGCTGTGCTGTCACTAGCTAATAATCCTCAGAAGGCAAGGGACTCCCTGGGTGACCATTAATATTTAATCCCTAACAACAAGGCTCTCCTCAACCCCTGATCCCCCCCACCCCCATCCCAGACTCTGCTTCCAGCTTCTCCAGACTCCCACATGTCCTATTCACCAACTTGCTCTCATGCACAGGGCAAGAACAAAGCAGGAGCAACCACACACAGTCCTTCCTGCAGACCTGGAGAGCACTACAAACTGCTGTGTGATTTCAATTTCAAACTACCTGAGGCTCTGACTCTTCCCCTTCAAGCTCTTTGAAAAGATCTTCAGCTCCAAACTTCAAAATAGCTGTCAGCTCCTCTTTGTTGAAGGGATTTGAGCTGCAAGAAGTAAAGAAGGAAAAGGTGTTTTGAGCTGTTCAGTCAGAACTGCTACAGCACAAAACCATACCAAAGTTTTTCCTAATTGAAGCGAGGAGTAAGTTTTCTACCCAACACTATAAAAAGCTTTGTTATTATTCTCTTTCCTGCTCCAGCACACACAAAGACTGCAATGGGAACCACCACCATCTACTGGGGGAAATGAAAAGAAACTGAGGTCACTGCCAAAATGCAGCCATTCCACAGCCAGGTTCCCCTCAGACCAGGATGATCTCTGGGTAAGAGACAGAAGCAAACTAATTCTAAATTTCTGATCATCTTTATCCTATGTATCCAAATTAATGGTTGCAGAAGCCAAATCAGTGGAAGCTGCCAGGATTTATTAGCCTTCTGCCCTGTACCCTATCAAATAAACACTGGGAAATGCCAGCAGGGGAAGCTGGTTATGCCACGTGCTCCAGACATTTCTGGCTCCTGACACAGCCACGTACTTGGATCTCCCAGAGTTGTTGTCCAGAACAGTCCGGCCGGTGGTGTCCATACGCTGGATAACCAAATGATCCAGCACCATTTTCTTCTTGGCTCTCTCAATGATCTCCTCCTCCACGGTCCCCTTGGTGACCAGGCGGTAAATATTCACCTGAGAGGCAAAAAGAGACCACAGCTATTTCCTGGACAGGCTCTGCTGGTACAGCAATGCATCCCTCAGCTGTTTTCACTGGGCTGCTGACATTGTCTCTTCATGTACAGATGTGCTTTTTCAGAAGAAAAACAATCACATTCTCTCTGTATCTCAGGGGATCAGTTAAAATCAGGATGGTTAACACAGATCCTGTAGTGTGCCTAAGCACAGAGCAAAAATCTTCTGAAACAATCACTCTAAAATCAAACTAGCACCAAACTAGCTTTTCACATATCTAATAACCCCTAGTAAAGGTGGATGTTCTACTTTTTAAGTTTTTCAGGGCAAGAAAGAACAGACTCCACTAGGACTAGGCTGAGAAGTGCAATGCCATGGGTTGGGTTCTGGGTATGCTCAAAACCAAGACTTGGCCCCTGGCAAATCTGGGCTGCTTTTTGTCTCCTACTTTTTAAATGAGATTCCCTCAGGCAGCACTCTCTGGAGCAAGGAGCGGGACAAAAAGCCCATGTTTTCAAAGCTTTGGTGAGGTGAGAGGATGTTTAGGTGCACACACTGAAGGCACAGTGCAAACAACCCAGGCAGCTCTCCTGACCTGCTTCTTCTGTCCAATTCGATGAGCTCGGGCCTGAGCCTGAAGATCATTTTGGGGGTTCCAGTCCGAGTCGAAGATAACAACAGTATCAGCAGAGGCCAAATTAATTCCCAACCCTCCAGCTCTTGTTGACAACAAGAAACAGAAGTCCTGGGAAGGAAAGAATAAAAAGCATCCATGAGTTAACCAGTTAACTGAGGGCATAATATAGCAGTGGTGACTCAAAAGCTGTAAAAGGGAATGGAGAGAAGACTGTTGCACTCATGGTTCTTAAAGCAGAAAAAGGATTTCCTTCCCATGTTCCCTGTTCATGCAGGCTGAGCAGCACCAGGCTTTAAGCCAAGACCCAGAGTGAGGCAGTGCTGGCCCAGTTGAAGGGATGAATCAATATGGGACAGCAACACAAGCAGCTCAAGGCAAGGGCACCTTGTAGTTACTTCTGAAGGTCAGATCATATTGCTCACCAGACTCCTACAAAGGCAGCAGGCAAACATCTGCTTTTTGCTGCCTGAGTCCTGTTAGGAGTGAGATCAGCAATGAACAGACTGTACCATCTTAGATCCCAAGATGCCTGAGCCCCCATAGATGTCCTCAGGACAGGTAAAAGGGCAGGTTCTACTGACATTCTTGTTTATTCCCCTCCTCACACTTCCTTTTGTTAATTTTCCTACAACCACGATCTCTCACAATCCCTGTGTGAGCCAAGAATCCTGCTCCAGCCCAGGCTCTTGGAGTGAGGAAAGGTATTTCTCACAGCTGGGCTGACTGACACAAAAACAAGTGTCTTGCACCAGTCACTGTGAGTCAGCAAGCCCAGATGAGAGGTTTCAGATGCCCTCTCCTATTACACTGGAGACTTTCACCTCCAGCACCAGACTCCACTGCCTGCCAACACTTAAAATCCTTCTTTTGCCTCTGTCATTTCATATTCAAAACCAGCTTCAGACTGGAATCACTCAGCAACCATCTCATTCTCCAGACCAATAAGGAGAGAACTGCTAAATTTTGGCTCTTCCCAGCCTCTTCAGAACTTTCTGGAATTGTGACTTGCCGCCCCGTTCCTTGGACGTGAGAGATTTCAAATAAACAATGTGGCTGGCTGCAAAACATGCTCTATCCGTGTCTTTAAAAGTACCTGGGGTCCTGTGAAAGGCACTGAGCTGAACTAACCCCCTGTGCCAGTCACAACCTGTGGCTCAGCCACAAACCCTCTGCCCAGGACTGCGGTACCTCGGAGCCGTCGGCGTTGAAGTGATCCAGCGCCTGCTTTCGGATCTCCCCCTTGATCGAGCCGTCCAAGCGCTGCAAAAACCAACCACAGCGGTAAGAGAGAGAAGGCAAAGGAGCCCCGAGGCACGGCTGCACCCGAGTGCTGCCAGCCCTGCAGCCCCCTTTGCTGCCTGCAGCGTTTAATTGTTAAAAATAGCCGCCAATTAAAAATGACGGCGCTGCCTCAGCTGTGTCACAAGGGCTGGGGGATGCTCAGGGGACAGGCACACGGCGGGTGACACCGCAGCTCCCGTTACAGGCTCTCTGTGCTCACTGTCCTCAGGCTCAGCACATGACACAGCCCAAAGCAGGGGCCTGGCACAGGAGTTTTGCAGAGCTGGGGCCACACTGCAACGAAGGGACATCCCAGCTCCTTCCAGTAAGTGCCACCTGCAATCCCAGCCACCAGCCTCTGGGGAGCTCAGTGACTCCCACTGCTCAGGCTCCCTCCATTTTTTCCCACACTTTCAAGGGGATCCCACTGTTTTCCATGCTGATGTTTCTCACCTGAAAAGGGTAGTGTTTGATAGTCAGGTACTCTGCCAAGATGTCCAGCATCCTCACCATCTGGGAGAAGATCAGCACTCTGTTGCCTCTCTCCCGCAGCCTGGTCAGCAGCTTGTCCAAGAGAATCAGCTTTCCACTGCTCCTGATCAAAGACTGAAGAAATAACCATCATTTCCAACCTTACCCTTATGTACACCACACAGAGCCCTGCACAGACCTGCTCTTTTCAAGGTCATTCATCTCTTGTACATCTCTAATCTAATCATCTGGATTTACACAGCAGAGCCCACACACACAATGAATCACACAAGACAGATCCTACACTGCCCACAACTCCTGCTCTAGAAGGCCATAAAATGTTGCCCACAGTAGAAGAGGAGGGCTGGGGGTTCAAATGGCTTAGCTGTAAAAACTGTTTTTGAGGAAGAAGCCACAGAAGATAAGCTTCACCAGATATTATTTTGTTGGGAGGACAAAAGAATGAAATTTAAGGAAAAAAGGTGGTGACCAAGGACACCACTCACCTGCAGGGTCTCAAGGCCATTCTCTCTCTCATTTTCCTCAGGAGGTTTGATAAGGTAGCAATGGTTGCAGCACTTTTTCAATTCCATCACAATATTGAGGAAACCAGATGTGCTTCCCCTTGTTCCCTTTGAAAGAGCTTTGTAGTTTCTTGTCAAAATCCACCTGAAGGCAGGAAAATTAAAGTTCAGATCATTACTCAGTGCAGAGCAGAGCCTTGGAGGACCAAAACCTTCAGGAACAGCTCATTCAGGCATCAGTCTACTTCCCTGCCTCCACCTCTCCTCACTTGTCTTACAGGATGCTCTTTCCTCTCTAAAAACCCTGACCTGATTTTCCTATTGATATTATCACTGTTTAATATTGAACAGCATCCCAACTTTGTGCATATTGTCACTCCCCCAGGAAAGACACAACCTCTGTCTTGCAAAACTGGCCAGTTGAACTGCATCACTCTACAAAAAACATCTTCCAGAAGGAAAGATATCAACTCCCCTACCCTCATATTCCTGCTGGGAAGCTCCCACTAGTACAGGTCATGGTGTCTCATTGCACTCTGGAGGCCACAGTATGCACAGAATAGTGGAACACATTGCCAAGGCCCACAGAAAGATGTGCCCATTTCCACTGGCACTCCCTCATTCAGTGACTCACTTGTAGTACTGCTTCTGCAGAGCAGACATTTCCACCCGGAGGATCTGCTCCACTTTGGCTGGCAAAGATTTCTCCACATCCTTCTTCACTCTGCGCAGCAGAAACGGCTCCAGGACTTTGTGAAGGCTCTGGTAGCCATTCTCTCTACCTTTCCCGTGATCCTCCTCAAAATCCTCCCAGAACTCAAACCTGGCAACAGAAAGGAGGAGAAGGGAGGTGTCAGAATACCTCTTGTCTTGTGGCACCAAACAGCATCTGTTGGATAAACTCCTGCTGCACCACAAGAGAGGAGAACAGCAGTTTAATGGAAACAGTGCAAGATAACAGATTCACTCTGTTCTGGCTAACTGAACAGATTGGTGGCAAAGCCAGAAGATCTCTGGGCTTAGACACCTTCCTAACATCTTATGTTTGAGCTCCACACTGACTCCCAAGACCCAAAATCCCAAGTTTCCCACTATTTCACTCTGTTGGCATTTACCTGGCAGCAGTTTCTGAACTTTCCACGGTGCCTCCCCCAGGCACAGCTTTGACAACTGGACTGTTTTACCCTGCTCTGAAGGCTCTTTTGGGACTGTTGCTTCCTCTGACAGCTCCTTTGAAACATGGAGATCTGCTCTCCTCCACTTGGGACACTTCAAGACTCTCCTTCACTGTTTATGTGATCCAACAAAAGGAATTTGGGGGACAGCTCTTCTTGCAGTCAAACACAATTTCAGTGAGCTTTTGGGGCATGCCTGCCTTAGCCTTAGAGATGCCCATAGCTCATTTTATTTTAAAGGAAACAAAACATTTGTTACACTGTGGACACACAATCAGCACCCCCAGAGATGCCATGAAATGGTTGGCAGAGGTGCCTGAACCACAGTGTACTGGAAACCTCAGAAATGGCAGAAATGATTGCTTAAAACAAATTTATTTTTTTTTAAGATGGCTGGAAGACAGCAGACAGATTTGAAAGGCATGTATCAGGTTTCCCCATTCAGTTTGCTGCCAGAAATACTCCTTGTGTTAGTTATTTAACCTTTGATTTTACCCAGTAGCGTCTGTTCTCCTATCATTGCTGTCACACCACTGAGTTTAATTCAGGGATTTCTGCCATTCTGCACTCCCTTGAGCCTATTTAACAGACAAGAATGGAACAGAGACATTTCTTGGAAGCCTAAAAGGAGACTCACTTCTCTGGCATGATGAAGTGCAGCAGGGACCAGAGCTCCTTGAGTGAGTTTTGAAGTGGGGTGCCAGTGATCAGCAGCCTGTGGTTGGACTTGAAATCAATCAAGGTTTTGTACAGCAAGGAGTCGTCGTTTTTCAACCGATGGGCTTCGTCCACGCCCAGAAAGGCCCAGTTAATGCTTCCCAAAACAGTCTGGAGGAAGAGAAGGAAAAGGCACCAAGGAGATGCTGGGTCAGACAGGCCCCACCACCCTGCACATGTGCCTCCCTCCAAGGCAGGAAGCCCTGCTGAGTGTGCTGCCCAGGACCTGTGGCTGCCCCCTCACAGGATTTCCTTGTTAACAAAATCTGGGGAGCAGGGTGCCTTCCCAGAAAGGAAAAGGTGAAAATCAGCCATGCTGAGCAACACTCCTGCTGTATCTCAATAGCCCTGCAGCAAGTACACCTATCCTAATCCTCCTTTGCTTTACCCAGAAAGAAGAGTCCTTCCCCAGCTCTTTATTCCCCCCTTTCTCCATGCCTTTGGGGCCCTGGGTAGCACTAGCCCCACTGGAGCAAGAACAGGAGAGCAGATGAACAAAGCTAAAAATTTCAGGTAATCCAAGAGTTTTGATTAAATTTTATTTTTTTAAGCTTTTAGTTTTCTGCTATGACTCAGTGATACTCAAGGGCTGATGAATATTTCCTAAGGAGACAGATTTCTTGCAGATGTAAAAATGTAAATACTGTTAACACTGTGGCCAGAGGTTCAGTCTAATGTTTTGTCCTTTTAATGAGCCCAAATTAAACCACGTAAAAATCCAGGTACTGCTGGATCCTGCCAGATGCCTTACATGTAAAAAACATAACACAACTGTGCAGTACAAGAGTGAAGACACTGTAAAATGTGTCCCACATTCCCTTGCTTTACTGGGAAGGAAAAGCAAATAGTGGCTGTAGTTGTCCATCACCACAGAGGGAGAGATGAAACCCACTAGCTGTGAACTGGCTTTCTCCTTTGAAAATGACAGAAAGTCTAAATAAAAACATTCTTGGAGTAATGACTCACCTTATCCTTCAGGAGGATCTCATACGTTGTGATAAGTGCATTGAATTTCAATCTTTTAGACTGAGAATGGATCCACTCATATTCACGTATCTGTGAGGGGAGACAAAAGTTAACTTGAACACATGTTATGAAAAGGAAAAAGTTAACAATTGTTATTTCAGTGTAGCTGTAAACCAGAGACTCCAACCAAGTCCAAATCCCTTCTAAGATGCCATTTGATGAGCTCAAGGTGCCCAAGGAACTTTTGTTTTAGTGCACACATGGTTCAACTGCCCTTGCACAGGTAACAAAATAAGGTGAACCTGCTGTTGTGACATTAATGAACACATCACCTCACTGCAGACACCACTGGAGTCCCAACACTTGTGTGCTCCATTGTCTGAACAGTCCCAAACACTGAAGACAAGCATTTTACACTGCATGTTTCACTCCAGATCAGTACTGGCTCTGAGAGAAGCCAGTGCTCCTGCACTTACCACAAGAGGCAAAATAAAGCAGAAAATTCCCTGTAGCAGGGAGTTACACCCACACACTCAGCTACACCAGCTCCAGCTGCCTGCAGTGCTGCCAGAACCATCCACCAGCCTCTCCAGCTGACTGTGTGTCACACACATCACACACAAGCTGCTGCTTTGCACCCAGTGCTTCTCCCTGAGCCCTCACCCTTTGCTCTCTGATTACACACCATGTTCCTGCTCATGAGGTCTCCAATGTAAACCACCACGTTTATCTCGGGTGCCCACACTTCAAACTCCCTCTGCCAGGAGGTGAGGGTGGACAGGGGCACGACCACCAGGAAAGGGCCATACAGCTGGTGCTGATGGAACAGGTATGACAGGAATGATATTGTCTGGATGGTCTTGCCCAGTCCCATTTCATCAGCCAGGATCACGCTGTTGTTCCTGAGAAAGAGGAGAAAAAACAAAAATGCTGTCTGAGTGCATGTTTCTGCCACTGCTAATTCACTGTGCTCCACATGAACAGCAATCCACGACAAGGACAGAGAGGGGCAGTGCAAAAACAGTTATTTGAACACTTCCAAGTGGATCCCAGGGACAGCCAGACTGAACATGGCACAATAACGTGCAAAAATTAACTATGATGATTCCAAACTGGAGGAAAACAGGCAAAGGCAGAGAGGAACTAGTGGCCTAATTTTAGGAGGACATCTCTCAAAGACTTCAATGAGTATATAAGCACACTGAGCCAGAAACCATTCTTTCCCACTAAGTCAATGGAAATCTAGGGCTTATATGTACCAGGCACAGCCAAATCCATCATGTGAACAGGCCCAGACAGGGAAAATGCTTTTTGTTTTCACACAAGGTTTCTTAAGTTCATGCTTTAGGTAGTTTCTGTTTGCACTGTCTGTGATGCAGCTGAGCATGATAACATTTGAAACCCTCCAAGCTGCAGAAGGAGGGCGTGTAAAGACCTCACTTGAAAAGGAGGTGTGCCAAATCCTTCAGGGACAGAAAAGCCTCAGAATGAACATCCCAGGCTGTGCACATACTTGCACCAGGAGTGAGCCAGCCAGTTGAGGCCCTCCAGCTGGTAATCGCGCAGCTCCAGGTTCTCCCCGCCGATGTACGAGGGCTGCTTCTTCAAGGCAACAAACCTCGGCCTCTGCTTCAACACCTGAAAGAGATGCTGCCATGAGTCCACTGAGGAGAAAGACAGAACTCTCCGTGGCTGAAAATTCCGCAATGATAGCAATGAATTCAGCAAAGAGTGAGGATCTATTCACTGGTTCAAGTGAAGAGAACTTCACCTCCATCCACATTTTCCTGGCCAGTGCTTGTGTCTGCATTTCTTGTGATTTGCCTGCTGCTCTCTGGTTTATGATCAGGGCTCTGAGTCCCCCAGGAGTGTAGTAAGCTGCACAAAATACACAGGACTCAGAACAAGCTCCACTTCCTTCTTTGTCCTCTTTTGGTTTTTCTCCCATTATTTCTGTCCCTCTCCTTCACTGTATCAGCAACTTGCAGGCTTCCTCTTTTCCCAGGTGTGCTGTTTTTTCATCCAACTGACATTAAAACTGCTGCAGCTCCTTCTGAGGAGGAAGCACTTTGCAAGGATTAATTAAGCCTCCCACTCCCCAAGGGGACATAACGTTCTCACTGTGCACAGAGTAAATGAAACTCAAAGGGCTTCACATCTCTGCTTGAAGTGCAATACAAGAGCAGCAAACAACCCTTCAAATGCAGGTGGGAGGATGGGAAAATGTTCTCTGACATTTATCCTGACAAAACTTCATGTTCCCACTGCTTGCATCTTCCCCCAGCCTGGAGGAACCCGGCAAAGGAGAGAAGCCAGCAAACCTTGCAGTCACGGGTGGGAATTGTCTTGGAGTTGTTCCTGCTGTTGAAGCTGTCAATGCAGTGCTGGAATTTCTTGCTGATCAGAGCCTCATCTTCCCAGCTGCACTCGGCATAGGGCAGCCCCATCCACTTGCACAGGTATTCGGGGTCATTTGAGGATGTTTTGCGACTGTTTGCTGTAAAATATGCAAAAAAAGCCCAAACCTCAGCACCTGTAGCTGAGCAGCTGAACCACAAGCATGGTTCACAGGCTGAACTGCCCAGGCAGCCACAAAACAGGTCTTGGCTCATAGCAAAAGTGTAGAGAGACCAAAAAAATGTGCCTTTACCTGGGAAATCTGAATGTCCCATGGCAGACTTGCTGGTCTTCACAGCTGTTTTTGGAGAGAGAAGGGAAGGGAATTTTGGAATGCTGGCAGCCAGCAGAGGGAGCAGGGCAGACCATCACTGCCTCACACCCACGTTTTTACATGAATTGTATTGGAAATAGGTTACACAGCTCTCAAAGCCAATTCCCAAAGCAGCTGAGTGCCATGCTGGCAGCCAGCAGAGGGAGCAGGGCAGACCATCACTGCCTCACACCCACGTTTTTACATGAGTTGTATTGGAAATAGGTTACACAGGCTCTCCAAGCCAGTTCCCAAAGCAGCTGAGTGCCGACACCTCTGACTGACATGACTGTGATATTACCAAAGGGCTCAGTAAGTTCTGGTTTTACTTTTATTAATTAATCATGAAAATCTTGCCCCTGAGCTGCCTTGCAGCCTAACCACACCCTCAACCACACCATGGAAAGTGGACTCACAAAGGCCAGGCCCATGCTGCTGCTTTGGAAACAAACATCTTGCATCCAAAGGGTTGAAGACAAATAAATTCAGCAGCAACAATTTCAGCAACCTGTTGGAAACTAGTGTGTCATCCCATACTCCAGGCAAGGAGAGTCACTGACTTGTATTATTTGTAAATACAAATCTGTAAACCTGGACTTCTACTGTTCAAATTCCTAAATTTCACACAACAAAATACAGTAAACACCATGGGGTTTTCTTCAGAGCTACTGGAGAGCAGGGAAGAAGAGAGAGCTGCACACTCATTCTGCTGTCACATGGAATAAAGTTCCCATTCCTACTTCACCCCTTTACCAAAGTCTTGGCTCCACTTACCTATTACCCTCTCCACTATTTGATACTGTTTGTTTAGCTCTGAAGCCAGCTCTTGTTGGCAGTTGAAATATTCTACATCTTCAGGTGATACCTTGCCCAGCCTAGATGCAAAATAATTCAAAACAAAACAAAACAAAAAACCACTATTATGCTTCTGTCATAGTACTCATGGATTTGCATACAGAAAATCCACTTTCCTATACGGTTCTGTCATTCAAACAAGTCAGAGAGGCAAATTACTGTTCATGATATGTTTCTTAAATTTCCTAAAATTGTAAATTATTGCCGAGAAGCAAATGTTATAGATGTTCAGATTGTCTCCCTGTTAAATGCTGCCTTATTCTGAGGCAAGAATCAGTCTCAAAACAGGAACCAAACAGAGATGGAAGCTGCTACTCCAGCTTTAGCACTTTGGAAAGACACTGTAGCTTCCCTTATAGTTCCTGGGGAAGCTGGACATAAACTGATGCAAAAACCTGCACACAGAAAAGCCCATAATTAACAAGGGTTAATAAGGCTGCAAGCCCTCCTGGGCCAGGTGAGTCTGTGCAACATTTATTGGTCATCAGCCTTCCTAAATCTTAAGCCTAGGAAGTGGCAATAGTGTGGATTTCAGGCTTTGTCCTCTCCATTTTCCAGCCATCCACACCACAGATATAATTTCTGTGTGGGGGGATGCTCCTCAGCAGGCCAGAGTGCACATGAAACACACTTTGTAAGAAGAAATCAAACATTTTCAGCCACGACTCCTCAAACCTCCAGCTAAGAACAAACTGCCCAAGGCCAAACCACCGCTTGAAGCGAAGCCTACCATTGCTTGATCTCCTCCTCTTTCTTCTTGAAGTTTTCCAGCTTTTTCAGGCCCTTCACCTTCTGCTGCTGCAAAGACTCCTCGCTCTCCCACGTGCTGTGGATGTACGACCAGCCCTTCCACTTGATCAGGTACTGAACCTCGCCCTCGTCCTTCTCGGGGTCGAAGTCGGAGCTGGGGTTGCCGTTGGCCTCGGTCACGTACACCGTGGTGGAGGCTCCGATGGCTGCAAGAGAGGCCAGCCTGCATTTGGTACCCTCCTTACCCACCCTGGGCATCACAGCAAAAAGTTACCCTCCTAATACACCTTTTGTGGGGGCACAAAGAACATCCAAAAGATTCTGCAAACCTGTAAGGCAGGCACACAAAAGTCCTCCACGCAACAGAATCTTTTTAAGTCTGTTGTGAGTAGCTTTTCTTTAAGTATCATTCAAAGGCCTCTTGAAAGTGTTCGCAACCATTCAGTTTTACAAAAAAACACTTCTGTAAGGCTTTGAGAAGAAAACATTGGTTTTATTTTCATTATGGCTTTGTCAATGGGGCTGTGAAAACTGACTCTCCTAGATCTGTTTCATATTTCAAAGCAGAGAAAAGCAGGAATTGCAGAACAATGGATGCATCTTTAAAATGTGTGCAGGCTAAATGAAAGCTGCTGAGCACATAAACTATAGAGATTTTAGGATTTTAAATATTATATGTTACAAAAGCTATTACATATTACAAGATGCAGCTAAGAGGCATAGAGGAAAAGATGAAAAGCACTGAAACAACCCTTGAGCCCCGTTTAAAGCTGCAGAAATGTTGCACCAGTTCAAGAGAAATAAAGGCTTCTTCCAGAGCCACGCACCTCCCTTTTTTCCAAGCCTGATGTCCAAGACTTTCTCAATAGTTTCACTGTTGTCTTGTTGTTCATCAGCTCCTTCCCCAGTCATCTCTATCAGGTCATCAGAATCCGTCTCAAAATCATCATCTTCTTTGTAGCTGAGTAAGATCAAAACCAAACCGATATAAAACCTTTGACTCTTCCCAGCCCACCAACACAGAGAATGGCTCAGAGTGGAGCAGCTTCTCCAGCATTTATGCTGTGGTTCAGTGCACGTTCAGAACACGTCTTAAGTCATCCATTCAGTATTTTTCCCCAAGACACTCAGCTACACTTTATCAAACTAATCCTCTATCTTGCCCATATAGTTTTTCTGACCATGGCCAACATCAGGTGATTCATAAGGTGGAACAATCCCTGCAGCAGAATCAAGGCCATAACAGAAAAAGTCTCCACTATGGAGGGAAAGATTATTCTATGGAGGTTTCAGAGCATTGAAAAGCTGCATGGGTGCCTAGGAACTGCACTTCTCATCTTTGGTGCATGTTTAACCACCACAAAATATCATTTGGATGGCTCTTTGCAAGCCCCTTATTGGGACTGCCTGAAAGGTGGGAAGGTACATTGTGGAATGGATAAAACTTTACTCCACCCTAGCTCAACACTGTCCCAAGGCACTACCTATCAGCCACCCTCAGACAATTGGTCCAGTCCAGCACAGCTGCTCCCTTCTGCTCATTTTCATCTATTTGCAATTATTAATCTCATCTGAGAGTGCTTTAGAAACATTATGCAACCCATTCTCACGTTTCTCTTAGGAGGGACTGGTAAACATTCCCTCCTTCACAGATGGCAAAATGAGATAAACCCCAGATGTGCCCAGCAGGAACCTGTCAGAAGAGCCACCCCTCAGCCAAGCAACCCCACACTTCTTCACACCTGACATTTTTGGCTGCTCTTCTCCGAGTTTGTCTCTTGGGGGTCTCATCATCTTCATCATCATCGTCATCTTCAGATGAGTCTGGTTTCTTCCTCTTCCCACGCTGGATTTTGTGGGGCTTTTTAACACCAGTTTTGGCCACTGTTCTAAAATAAGAGTTAATAAAGCCATAATACAGCATGGTTTATGTAAATATCCACTTTAATAAGTCTTTAAGGAAGCACGAATCTCAAATATTAGACTCCTAAGGGATTTAATCTGCTCTAACTATCAGGAAAACCACTCTAGTGCTCACTGGAGCATGAGATGGAGAGATGAGGGAATAACTAGGCCCTAGCTTTACTATGTCACAAACAAAGGTAAAATTGCACAAAAACTTCATTAGTGACAAATAGGGATTTCGTCTCCACACAGCATAGGCAGAAAAAGAGACTGAACCAACCATTCCTTACCTCCTCTGGACAGGTCTTCTTGCTTTAATTTTCTTCGGTTCAGGTTCACTCTCTCCACTGGTGCCTTGCTCCCCTCCATCTTCATCCTCTTCTCCAGCAGAGACCTCCCTTTTCCATTTAATTCTGTGGTCAGAAATGTAGGTCATGAAGGGCAGCAATATTTCTACACAGATACTTGGCTGAACAAACCATCAGGTCCATAATTACAGGAAAAAGGTTCAAAATTCTATCCTTGGCTGTTCAGTGCAATGCAGGGGGGTGTTGTGTTGTGATCCTCTGCTTTTAGGAGGGGGGTCTCAGGCACCTGGGGCTTTGTTCACACAGTGGCAGGACTGCCTTGAGTGAGAGCAGCTCTTACCACATGGGCTGGTGGCAGAGCTGTACTGCTCAAACATGGGTGGGCAAGGGCTTTCATTGATGAATTTTTCTTTTCTCTACTTCTGCATTTTGGAGATGGGCTGGAAGGATTTGAAGAGAAGTGTTCACTGTCACAGAGCATGAGCCCAAATGTGCAGAGTTACAGGAGCTCCTTAGAGCCCAGAAAATGGAACAAGTCTCCTGCCATGGAAATTCTCCTGCCAATTCAAGTTTCCAAGCGTGAAGCCAAGTCACATTGTACATTAGTGGAAGGAAGCATGTTCTCTGGGGACAACTAGGAACAAAGCTGCAGCTCCAAAATGCCTTTTGAAGGAGCCCCTCCTCTCTCAAGAGGACATGGAGGGTCCACAAGGATCACTACCCTTGCCCAGGAGAGGTCCATGCTACCACAGTTCTCCCTGTGCTTTATCACCTTCCCTCCTGCACTGATGGGTACAACCAAATGAAGAGTTAAAAGACAAGATGCAGGAGAAGGCAAGCAGGATCATGTGGCTCTGTTTAGATTTCCTCCATCAGGCAGTTCACAGTTCCCTACTCCACTTTGGTGTATGCAGAAACTAGAAGGTACTCACTAGATGGGAAAAGGCAATAAAATATGACTATAAGTGAACTCAAGTTATGGTGCTTAGACACCCAAAGCATTCTTTATGGAAGTTCTTTTGTTTTAACAGAGGGTTATAAAAGATAAAAGAAGATAATAATTTGGTATTTTATTCTCAGTTAATCAAAAAGGTGGGAGAAGAAGGGATTAAACTGTTTTAAGTATCTCTGAAGGAGAATCAGTAATTTGCTAGAAAAGTGAAAGGTTGACAACAGAAGGTGAACCTGACTCATTCAGATTCCATCACAGGCACAGCAGGAACATACAGGCTGGAAAATTGCATCCATCTATAGGTTCATATTCATACTTCAATTTTAGTAATCCGCAGTATTACTAAAATATTTATTTTACAAGCTCACCATGCTGACAACTCCCATCAAACAATCCAATGCACTACTGTTCTGAGAAATAAACCAAAGCATCACCACTCAAAACCCTTTCCTTAGAAACTTACTTTCTTTTCAACTGCTTCTGGCGTCTTCTTTTTGGGCTCTCATTTTCAGATTCGCTACTTGCCTTTAATTGAAAAGAAAGAAAATCAAGCTGTAGGCTTCACTGTGGACTGGCTCCTCAAGGATGCAAGTGACACACGTGCTCGTGGGCTGAGCCAGGGTCCTTTCCCTGCAGCCTGAAGGTGCAGAGCAGCTGCCTCCCAGCACAGCCACCTCAGCTGCTCAGTCCCGCTGCTCTGCTCTCAGTGTGAAGAAGAAAACCCTGCAGGAAGCCTGGAGAGCTCTACAGCATCACCTATCCTGAAGTCCCTGAGCTCAGGACCCATCCACCCCCTCTCAGCACCAAACCCCAGTGCCCAACAGACAGCAGTGGCCAGGCAGACCTGCAGTGTGTGCAACACCCCAGGGATTGCAAACCCACAGGTGAATTTATCCCAACAATTGCATTATGATCTCTGCCTTCATTGCTCAAACTTCCCACAGGGCATGAAATAAAAATACTGTCATAAAAAGGCAATATTCTTATCAAAAGTATCCTTGTCTTGCTATTGGGTTTTTTCTCCCACAGCAAGTCCTCAAGGACCTTACTGGGTCAGAGCTGTGTCCTGCTGCTTTCCTTCCTTCTAGTTCTACAGTCTCCACCAGTGAAGTCTCTTTGGCTAAATTTATCTGGAGCTATTCTAACTACTTGCTGCACTATTTTAAAAGTGGGCGTCACAAATTCCCACAGACCAAGATAGCTAAAATAATCTCTTTATGCTGGTTGTACACAGCCACATTTTCATAAAAACTAGTCAACCATGAAAACAGATCACCTCACAGATAACGTGACTTCTCCTTAGCCTCCCCCAGAAAATGCAAATAGGCAGGGACAAAACTGAAGAAACCCATGTGAGATTTCTAAAGAAGCATTAAAATGACAGAAGTAGCCTCCAAAATTGCTTGCTCCACACACTTACTGGAAATCTTCCACTTGTAGCTGCTTTTTGACACAGTGTTCAGCTTTGGCTCCAGGCACTGTCTGTCCATCACTATGGGTATCACAGTTTGCATCCCCACTGCCCTCCTGGACAGAGCTCACACAGCTGTGCACACAAGGAGCTTGTGGAATGGTGTGAGCTGTAACACACATCCTTCATTCCCATTTTTCAGTTTTCCTTCCACCCACAGAAACTTCTGTCTCACTTGCATCATGGTATTGACTAAAATACTGACCATGAGCTTTCCTGGATTTGATGTCAGATTTGCATGTGGCACAATAACAGCTTTTGCACCATCTTACTAGAAACACGTGTTCATCCACCTGTTTCACAGCCCTGCATGAAATCCCTGTCTCATTTTCCAACCATGGAGCAAGTGCCTGGCAAACACCATGGAGAGCCCTACCTACGCTTGCAACACAAGCCAACCATTCCACAGGTTTCGGTTCTGACACACAAAATTTAAAAGTCCTCAGTTTTCCTCTTCTCGTTTAATCTCTTATCCACTTTCTGAAATTTTCTATTCTGATTTGGCATGATTTTAACAGGTGCCCCTCAGTGCACGTTTACTTTTGTTGCATTTTGGCAAGCCACAAGTAAAGAGAGGTGGATTTCTCTTCTGCTCTGCGTCAGAGATCACACTGGGAGAAAAACAAATACAACCTTTAGTTCTTTGAAATTAACTCCACTTGTGTGCCAAAATCCCACTTTCTAAGATTCTAGTGTCCATTTTCCCAATGCCTGTACACTCCCCCTGCTCTGCCACTTGTCTCTACAAAGCTGATGGTTATCTCTGACTTGACTTTTCTTCCCCTCTTCCACCTTGAAAAATGTAATTTGTGACTGCAGCTCAGCCACCTTCTCTTACATATTTCAAAGACAGCATTGTCTGTTTTGGATGCGTGTCAAGCCCAGCCCTATCTCCTCTGACACAGCCAGTCCCCAGCTTGACTCATCTGCCTGCCTTGTGCTCCCACATCCTCCCCATCCCAGAATGGAGTGCTGGGATGTGCCGTGCTGCAGCTCCTCAGCCTCTCCTCCCTGCTCCCTCGTGTCTCCTGGTGGTAAATTCCTTGTTTAAGGAAGCACAGAGAGCCAGGGTATGCCAGGTTCAGACCATGCACCAGGGGCCCTGTCTGCCCACCACCACCATCAGAACACACTGGTTGGGAAACAACATGCAACTTGAATTTTTGCAATGTCACCTCCCCAATGACACAAGCTAGACTGGCAAAGTCCATCCCCAGTCCCAGAGGGATTTTTGTCAGCCCAGCACAAGATGCTGGGGTCACACTGCTTGCTCCAGAGCCCAAGTGCCAGTGCTGCCCTGCTGGGGTGCTGCTGCTGTGGCCAAGGGGAAAGACAAACCTGGCTTCCCCTTATCAAAATGTGCCAAATTTACTCCTGCACCACTGCTTCGAGCTGCACTAGGATCTGGCCTCTTACAACTTCCTCAACTCCAGCTGAAGGGATCAGCCTTCCCTCTCCATGCCTCACTGACTCCTTCCATCAATTCTTTCCCAGCACATAAAGTGCACACACTTTTACCAGATAAATTGCACTGTATTTTGCGTGGAGCAACCACTGGACAAACATAATGATGCTGCATGTGTAGCACCAAGAAGAGCAACACAGAGCAATTCAAAGTTCTGCTCCTATTACTATGATTATCCATGAGTGTCCTTGCCACTAGCCCAGGCTGGGAGAAATTGAGATTCCAAGCTGTTGGAGAGGGGGTCCAGGTGAGCCTCTGGAGCTCTCATTAGGAAAGATAATGGCTTGCTTAAACAGAGGTAAAAGCATTTCAGACTAAAAGAGTGAGGATTTGCTCATTTCAGGCTTAAGAGAGGCCAAACTCCAGTGCTCCAGAAAGGTTGGAGAATCTCAGCTAACCAGGCTAGTTTTATGTGTGCTGAACTTCTCTTTTCCAGTGAGACCAGCAGTGTTTGAATTTTCAGCAAATACATGAGGCAAAGCATTGACCAAAATGCAAATGAGCAGATTTTTTTTCCAATAAGAAAACCAGCTGTATTTTTAGAACACACTGGTGCGTGACTTGTGGCCTCTCTCTGACAGAAAAAAAATACACTGACATTTGCCACCAATTTCAATCTGAAACCATTCTTTTTATAGTAAAAAGACTGTGTCTGGTTGGGGCACATTTATTTCTCAACTGCCCCAGAATCACAGAATCATGGAATGATAAAATGGTTTCAGTTGGAAGGGACCTTAAAGATCATTCAGTTCCAACCCTCTGCCAAGGACAGGGACACCTTTCACTAGACCAGGTTGCTCAATGCTCCATCCAACCTTGAATACTTCCAGGGATGGGGCAGCCACAGCTTCTCTGGGCACCCTGTGCCAGTGTCTCACCAGCCCCACAGGGAAGAATTTCCTTTATATAGCTAACCTAACCTGCCCCATTCAATTTAAATACTCTGAAAAGCACCTGGTTCTGCACGCCTCACATCCCCTGGCTGAAACCTGAAGCTGATTTATTAAGTGCAAAGAAAATGCCTGGGGAAGTAAGTGTTTTTACTAAAAAACTCACACGTCCTCTTGTTCCTGGAGACAGCTCTGGGCCTCTGAGCAGATCTGTGCTCCTATGCAAAGCTGCACTTTCGCTTCCCCAATGGCTGAGCCCATGCCTGGGTATTGATCACGAGTTATCACCCTCCCTGATCGCACCTCAGACACCTACACAAGCCCAGAAATCCTCAGAAGGTGACCATGTCTAACACACAAATAACCCTACCCAGAGTGCTGCTCTCAGTGATTGAGCAGGGCCCCAAAACCTGAATCACCTCTGAGCCATCTCCCCCGCTCAGGTGAGTCACGGGGCAGCACAGGAGCTGGGATGGCTCATCCATCCTTGCTCTGGTCTCTGAGCCTGCCACACTGCCTGCACAATGCTCTTTGCTAATCTGCAGAGAAGCATTAGGAAAGAAGGCAATTACAAGCCCCCAGACACTGTGCTGGAAGTCCCAAGCAGCAAGTGAGAGGTGCAGGTCACTGGAGACAGGATTAACCCTGTGAAGGCAAAAAGCATCTTCAGATGTGCCTTGGGTTTCTGCCCCCTCCAGCAGCAGAAAGGAGTGCTCAGCACCACACAGGCTTGAGCTATGCTATCTCCTCTCTCTTGGTGTCTTCCAAAAACAAGATTTTCCATCTCCTCCTGCTCTCTGCGAGGCCCCAGCACTGTGCTCCTGACAGGTCACACCCTCCAACAGATTCTGCTGCAGATGGGAGCTGCTCTGTGGGACCAGTCAGTGTTGCTTTGGGGAGAGAGGGGTGAGGGCATGCTCCAATTTTTTTTATTTCAGCTGTTTCACAGAAATTGCAGTGAGGGTCATTTGGAGGACCTTTGGGGTGGTTTATTTTTTTGTTTTTTACAATATTTTGTGGTATAGCAAAGTTTTTGCATCTCATATTTAATTTTTTTTTAACTTTACCTTAAGTAGTAGGAAATAAAGATATTAAAAAAGAAAACAACATTTGCAAAACCACGTAATATTGTAAAACAAAAAAAGAAGGGACTTACCTGGGCCCCTAAGAGGGCAGGGGGGTGTGCAGCGGAGCTCTGGGGTGGGTGTGAGGTCGCCGGCACAGTGCATGCCAGGGCATCGCACAGAGGGGCGGCCGGCCAGCCCAGCCTCTGCCAACTTGAAAAGGAAAACAAAAGCTGTGTCAATGGTGCACCCCGAGCCCCTTCCTGACCTCTGCTCTGCGGGACAGCCAGCACAGGAGTCTGGGGGACAGCTGGTGGCACTGGGGTGCCACCAAGGCTCAGCAATAACGCACCAGAGCAAGGAGCTGGAGACCTGCGTGCCACCCCTAGAGCATCCGAACACACATCTTGGTGGTGAAGCACAAACAGCCTGAGTCAGAGAGCACCACTGGGCTCCAAAGTCTGCTGCTTATCTTCAGATTCCCAGCCCCAAGCCCCAAGCTCTCCACAGATGCCTCTCTCTGGTCCTCCTTCCCCTCTGCTATAGCTACTCGACCTTCCTGAAGAGCTGCAGATGAAATGCTCCATGCAGAAAACCTGTCAGATGCAAATGAAGGCGGAACCTGATTTCTACATCTTCAGAAAAAAAACCCAATAGTGTTCTGAAACAGGAACAATTAGAAGGTTTGTCTGCCAGGCTCTCTGACCACTGTCACCTTCAACTGAAGCATAAAAGACTCCCTAATGTTCAACCAAAGAAAAGTGATGGGTCATAAAGCTGCACACACACAAATGCATTTATTAGTGGGATCCATTTCAGGATGGACAATAATGACTGGTTTGTTGCTATGAGGTGGTTCTGGGAACTTTCCTTTACTCCTGGTTGGATTTGTGTTGCATTTTGGTCTCGTTCTGTTTTTTAATTACACAGACTCCTCTCCAGGATGTTCCTACAGCAGAGCAGGACTTGCATTACGCCCCATTGCAGCAATCAGATCAGTGCCTGCAGATCTCAGCCCAGGCAGTGTCCTCCTCACTCCAGAGGTCTCAGGCCAAGGATCCAGCTGCAGGACTGGGACCTCAACTGTGAGATCCAATATCCATGCACCAAACTGGGACTCAGTGCTTACAGGCAATGCAGTTGAGACCTCCCTTTCCTCATTGGGTTTGGTTGGTTTTATATGTTCAGTAATCCCTCATCCTTTTTTTTTTTCCTTACCTCATCTTTTATATTAAATCGTGACGGTTCTTGTCTGCTTCGGTTTGACCTCCTAACCCCATAAACATCAGGATATTCTTCCCACATCTGCAAAATAAACAGACCATCAGAAGGCCTGCTTCACCCCAATTATTTTTGACATTTTAGAGAAGTTTGATGGTGGCTTAAAAAAAGTCATCCAAAATCCATTAGGGAATTAGCAACCAGTAGATGGACAGTTTAAAAAACTGGCTGGAAAGATTATTATTATTTTGGGATACATGACACCTTTCTAAAGCAGCATGTGTTTATCTCAGTGTTATCTTTACAGTGGTCCATCTTTCCACTGAGGCACAAATCACTCTCCAGTTCTCTCAGGCTGAAGGACAGTGTTGGGGTAACCAGCCCTCTGCAGCACTGGTGCCAAAGGAATGGAGGCAACACCTTGGACATGGAATGAACAGACCTAACAACTCAACAGGGCAGTTCTCTGTCACTAACAGCTTCCAGTACAATTCTTTTCCTGGTGGAAAGCCCCACCAGCTGCCTGGAGACATGGCCAGCTGCAGCTTCAAAGGTGAATTCTGTGGCCCAGTCTGGATGGCAAATGGAGCAAGATACCCTGTCATTTGGCAAGGCAAGGCAGTGGCCACTGGTTCCTCTCCTGAATGCACTGATGGGAATGTGGTTTGGCAGTGCAGGACACATGGATGTGCAGAGGTAACTGCTGGCAATGGTTGTGCTCTTTGCTGTAAAAGGAGGCCCTCACCAGCTGAATACTCCATGCATAAGAGCATGCAATTGTTCTTGTGGATGGGCAGGAGAAGGGGACACAAAAATGGATGCCCTGAGGGGGATGAATGCAGAGCTGTGTTGGTGACATAGGACACAAGAGTTACAGGGCAGACACAAACCACCACCATGCCCTTCAAATTCCTACACGAGCAATTCCTCTCTCCCTCAGCAGTTCTCTACATCTATTCATTTCCTTCTGATTCTCTCTCTCCAATCCTCAAATATCTCTGCAAGCCACTGGCAGGAAAAGGAAATCAAACTACCCTGCCAGATGCAGCAGTGATGGGATTGAGAGTGTGATGGATACGAGCCTGCAGCCCAGCAATTCTTCTGCCTCTGTTAAAGGAGTAATGGGATAAGGGACAGACTGTGACATTGTGTATCTATTGGGCATGCAAGGACTGAGGTACATTCTCATGAAAGAATGAACCCTCAAATTTAATGCTCCCTTCCCAAACCACCTGAAGAACTTATCTTTTTATCTATTAAACGGCATGGGTTTTGAATGTGGGAGCAACTTCCATGACAAATCTTAATAGCACCTAACACAGATTAACCTCGCCTTCATGGGTGTATCTAGACAAATACCAAATAAACAGTAATAATTAATTACATTTGTTATTCAAAGGGAAGATGTATCAACATGCCTAGGTTGGACCTAGCTAAGGAAGACACCCATTAACAGAGAAATTAAGGAAGGGAGAGGCTTTCTTATTAGAGGGTGTCCTGACCTTTTCATGTTTCACCCATGCTAATTATCACCCTGTGTATGGATGCACTTCCTTACAGGATAATGTTAACGTTTATTGTTAAGGACATGCTCTTAGAATTCTTCAGAGGGAGAGAAGACTTCCTTTGATGCCCATTTATCAACAATAATCCAGATTTTAATGTGGTGTTACCACAACTGCCTTATAAAGTCATCCTCCCTTGCCAGTCCAAACACTGGAGGATTTAGCCAGCAGCCTGGAGCTTTGTGGGAGGGAGAAGGTGGTAAGAAAATCCTTTACTTCTTCCTGGCAGGTCCGTAGGGAGCACAGGCTGGAAGCACTCTCCTTCCTCCTTATCCTTTAGATACATAGCACCTTTCTCCATAAAACTCACTCTCAGGAGAAGCTGTGCCCAGTGCAACACACGCCTAAGAACAACAGGACGGTTACACACCACAAAAAAGCAAACAAACAAACAAACAAGCTGACCTAACCACAATTTTCTCCTTCCAAGGGAACTCAGTTCACTGAGCTCCTGTCCCCAAATGGTATTTGGGTTCCTCTTTCTCACCTCACGCTGCCCTGTGTTAGTCAGGTGCCTCCATCCCTCAGGTAAAGCAGGTACCTGAGGTGCAGCTTCTGCCCTGGGGTGTGCAGAGGGATACCATGAGCAGTAACACCCACAGTCCCCTTTCCTGCTGGACAGCAAGTGAAGAGAAAACCCGACTATCTGAGGGGTATTGCTAGGGAGGAGCTGGGAAGGTGCAGGGGGAAAAAAAAACCACAACAAAGAAGCACTGTCCTGTTCTGGACTTAATAAATAATGGAAGTTCTTTTTTTTTGTTTTTCCTATGCTTTTTTGAGAGGAACAGTGATGTAAAAAAACCCAAAGCAGTTTCAACTTCAAACCCTAGACAAACTTCAAACCTTCTTTCTGAGTATTTATCACATGGGGAGGCTTTACTGCTTCTGAGGAGAGACAGGATAGCGCAGAGGAAAGACAGAGAGAGAGGATGAAATGACAGGATCACATACTGATGACAGGCACCTGTCCCTCACTCGCACCAGTCAGCCCTGTCACCATCTACTTGGTGCCCCAGGGGTTGTTCCACAAACACGGCAGCTCCTGCTCTCAAGGGTGACAGCAGCAGGGCTCCAGCACACAGACCAAACAGCCCCTGGGGACACTGGAGGTCAGAGGCTGTTTGGTCCATGTGCCAAGTGGCCAGGACGCTGGGCACAGCTTCACTGAGGTCCTGCCGTCTGACCTTCCGTGGTGGCTGCAGGAGTAACGTGTCCGTGCAGAGCAGCAGGGGTAATACCTTTTTAACATCTGCTATCCTTTCCTTCTTAGAGGCTGGCTTTTCTTTGGTTTCAGGAGGGGTCTGCTGGGATTTGGAACCCGTTGATTCACTTTCGGATTCAGACTGACTCTCAGAGGACTCGGAGCTGCTGTTTGACTCGCTGCCCTGCTCACTTTCAGACTGGCTTGCAGAGTCAGAGCCAGAGGCTTCTTCGGATGCCGAGTGACTAATGGTAGAGAAAGAAGAGGTTACATTTGAACTGCACTGACACAGCTGTGAAATACGCAGGGAGCAAACCTGAGACACATCTGAGCCACAACAACAGGTTTGGAAAAACCTGAACACAAGTGTGGACCCTACACCCCACACTGGCATTCTGCAGCAGAGGCAATTCCTTCCCAGAACACTGGAGAAAATGCAGCCCCAAAAATCCCTGCTCATCACCGGAACAAAAGCAGTGGTGGTAGGTGAAGAGAAGCATTAGCAGCACCAGCAGCACAGGTTCTACTGGGAGGATCTGGGTGTCTTGGAGCAAGGCAGTCAGGCACAGTGGGGCTGCAGCATCCAGAGACCATCCTGTTACATTAAACACGAGTAGCTGTTCCAGCACGGCTCTCCACTACATCCCAGTGTAGCCAGTGGTTCAGAATAAACCTGATATCTGCTTTCTGGAAGAGGCCAGTATAAAAAACATTATACCCATAACACCATGAATGATGTTAAATAGAATGTTTTTGTGAAAAGAATTAATTCAGCAACAGGGAAAAAGGAAGAAGCTTATATGGGGTTGTGGTTGGGGCAGCTCCTCTTTAAAGGATTACACCAGTGCTGTGCACTGCATTTCTCAAGCCAATAATGCGAGAGCAGAACACTAAGTAGGTGTAGTTCCCCTCTTTTTTTTTTTTTTTTTTTAGTATTTTATATAAAAATGGGTTAACACTGAGTATTCCCTTAAATAAAGGCTCCTCAGCAAAACAATGAGAGGCCAAACCTATTTTAGGTGGCCAAAAACATTCAAACACCTTTGCCCAATCACTCCCAACATATATATTTTTTATTTTAAGAGCCAAAAAAGTGAACTGAAATCTCAGTACACCTTAACACACATGCACTGGCAAGGCAGCATTCAAACCCCACTGCCACAAACAAAAACACAGTGACGATGCCCCAGACTTTTGGAACAGGGAGCACCCCCTTTCCCAGTCAGCTTTCCACTGGCAGCCGGATGCGCTTGTCATACTTAAGGATTCACCTAGGTACAACACTACGAAAGAAGAGTCAGAAAAACTTTGCAGCGGTATTAAAGGGATTTTTTTATTTTTTTTCTACTTTTGTACAAAAGCGACAAAGTACATGAAAGGCTTTGCTCAGATTTCACAATTCAAGGGAGAAATAATAATAAAAAAAACCACAACCAAACAAAAAAAAACAAACCAAACCAAAACAAAACAAAAAAAAACCAAACAAAGAAAGCATATGCACGTGTACATTTCCATCCGACTCCGCAGGGGTTACCCTCGGGGGATGCCCGGAGGCAGCCGCGGCCCGTCCCGCTCCCGATCCGGGACAAATCCCTGGATCCGCGGCTGAGGGCCGGGGAGCGGGCAGGGGGCAGCACCCGCGCGCCCTCAGGCGCCGCCGCCGCCATTTCGCGGCCGCCCCTCCGCCGCCATCTTGCGACCGCGGGGCTGAGCCCGATCCCTGGGATGGATGCCGGGATGGATCCCTGGGATGGATCCCTGGGATGGATCCCTGGTACTCCCCCGGGAAGGGGAACCGTGGGGACCGTGACCCTCCGAGCCTGAGGGGACACAAACGAAGCCCCTTCCGCAAGGAGCGGATGGCTGCTATTTCACCATCCCAGCCTGGGTTTGAGAGAGCAGGGTTATCCCATTGTGTCCTACAAGCAGGGCTGGAAATGAAATTGAACCACGGCCATCCTAGGCTGCCCAGTCCCTCCTGCCTGTCCATGGGTGGAGGTTATCCACGAGAACCAAAGGCACAGTGTCCCACTACAGCCCTTGTTCTGGGGGCTCTAGAACAGTTCTCCCACCTTGTCCACCATTGCCCGTGGTGGTGCCACATAGATGACCTGTGGTGGTGGCATGGCCATAACCCATGGCGGTGCCACACTGCTCCTGGGAATGGCACTCCAGCAGCTCTGGGGACAGATGGTGTCCATGGGCAGGGCTCAGCAGGACACCATCCCACTGGGCTCCACAAAGGAACGGGATCTGGAGGCATCCGAACCTCTGCTGTCACAACATAAGTGGCAACATCAGGCTCTGCTTGAGGCATGTTGGTCCCGTGTCCCACAGGGACGCACAAAAGAGGAAGACAGTTTTTCCTTCAATCAGATTTCTGAGCAATAGCTGGAAGGAATTTTAACAGCCCAGGCAAGACTGAGGCCAGACAGCTCTGACAGTATTTGTTTAGAGGCAGAACAGTAATTAGTGTTCTCCTCTCGCTCTGGAGCTCTTTGTTCCTCAAAGCCTTAAGCTTTATTTCAAGGACACAGGGACACAGGCTCTCTGCACATCAAGAGCCATAATTCATGTGCTTTATCCACAACATTGTCTGAACACTGTAATTCTTTTTTTCAGGCTGTGAACTGTGTCATCTGAAAAGAGGGAGAGTTCTCTGGTGGCATACACATCTGTATGTGCAGATATTTGCCTGCACACCTGCTTCCCCTACTAAGGAAAGAAACACACATGAGAAGTGGTTATGTCCTTTTGAAGGCTGTTGCAGTTTTTTTTTTTTATTTTTTTTTATTAAGGAACAACCTGTTATTGAGGCAAAATATGTGTTTATCTTCTTTTCTGTGTTGATGAGATAAAATAACTGAAAGGCCTGTTTTCATAAAAGAATCCTTTCTAACTGTCACTGGGACAATCAGGAAGCATTTCTACCTGCCAACATAATATAATGTATCAGCAACGCTAGATGTCAAATCAGGCCTAACGCTGTATATTCCTGGAGACTTAAGTCCTCTTTTCAGAAGTTATTTTTGGAAATTGTCCTGGTTTAATGCCCCTGAGTTAGCATCCAAACAAGACCTACTTTCAATTAAAGTAAAAGTGAGAAATAAGCTATAATTAATTGTCACAAAAATCACAATTCAACCAGAGCACCCTCCTCCAAAAACACCCATGAACATCAAAGAAAGCAACAGATGGACCATTGGTAATTTCCTTGAAGTGAGAAACTCTTAAAAAAAGTTGAAATCTGCAAAGATTCAGCCAAATACATTCCTCTGGTTTCTGAGAAATACTTCAGGCTCTAAGTCTGGTTTAATTAAGAGCCTGCTCCTGACTTGAAAGGGAGCAAAACTAAATCATTCCTTACCAAGAAGAACATGATCCTTCCAAGAAATAAGTAGCTGAAAGGCAGCGATAAGACCCTTTATAGTGAGGCATCTGAGTTTAAAAGGCTATTACCACATCCCTGAAGCCTCCAGATTTTGCATTTAGTATTTCACATGACTTCCTTTTATAGGGGATCATCTTTGCAAACAGCAAATAATTTTGTACATTCTCAGTAAGAAGAAACAGTAGATATGCTTCCAGAAGGTGTCAGACAGCTGAAAAAATGACCCCAATACACATTTGTGAAACCAAGAACTGAGTGGGGCATGGCTCTAACTGGGACCATTCTGCCCCAGTGTTTAAAATGTGGCTTTTGAGGGACAGAACTTGAATTCAGACAGGGGAATAAAGGAGGATTAATAGCCCAAGACCCTCCCACAAGCAAAGCTCCTCCCAGCTTTAAGAACTGTTGTGAATGTTTTGAATCTAAACAAGTTTGAATCCCAACAGCAACATTCCACTGGGCTCTGCAGGGATTCGGCACCAGCAAAACCACCCTGCGAAGGCTGGAGAAGGACCTTGGCAGATCATGGCAGGGCTGGGTAACATCAGGGGCTGGGTGACAGCAGGAGCCGTTATTTTTAACTCCTGTGCATTGCTGGCCACAGCGTCACCAGTGCTGTGGGTAAGTGACACCCAGGTGCACATCAGTGGCTCACTGACAGCAGAATGCCCCGGGCAGGTGGCTGGGACACAGCCCCTCCCCGCTGCCATCCCTGCTCCCCCTGCAGCCCGTGTTCCCGGCACTGGCTGGATGTGCTGGGCTTCCTGGTGACACACCTGGAGAGCCCAGAGAAAGAGCAGGTCACCGCTGGCTTAAGCCCAGGCAGGACCGAGCCTTTGCAGTAACAGGAGCAGTGGAAATAAACTGCACTTGGTAGTGCAGGAGAGTTGCAGAGTGGACAATGCAAAAATAGTTTGGACTCAATTATCTCAGGGGTCTTCTCCAATCTCTTAGATCCTGAGCAGCCCAGGGCTGGAGGAGCTGCTGGGTCAGCCCAAGGGTGTCTGGCAGAGCCAGCTCTACCTGAGAGGAGCTCCTGGGCCCCCACAGCGCTTCAGCTCAGGCTGCCAGCTGCTCCAAGCCACTCCCATCCACCAGCAGAACCAACCTGAGATTTACTCCAAAGCACAGAGCAGCAAGGCCAATGCAGGCCACGGACTTAAAACTATTTAAACAGGTCTGTCTTCCTAAAGGGACCTGTACAAACTGTGGGACACAAAAGCATGGTGACAAACTACAGAAAGGGCAAACACATTGGCTGAGATGAGGACTGGATGGTATTAAACATTTCCTTTGAATATCTGATCTATAATATGATGTTCCCTATTATGAAGAGAAACTACGTACAAGAGTATATAGTGACAGGACACAGGGGAATGGCTTCAAACTGAAAGGAAGTAGGTTTAGATTAAATATTAGGAAAAACTTCCTTAACTGTGCTGAGGCACTGGAGCAGGTTGCCCAGACAATGCCCCCTTCCCTGGAAGCATTTGAGGCAGGTTGGATGGGGCTCTGAGCAACCTGGTCTAGGGGAAGGTGTCCCTGCCCGTGGCAGGGAGATTGGAATGAGATGATCTTTGAGGTCTCTTCCAACCCAAACCATTCTATGTTTCTATATAAACATATATGAAATGGCTACATATATTGCAAATACAAACAAGCACATGAATGTTGATATGTGCACTCAAGTCACAGGGTAGCTGTAAAAAGGCACTAAACTAAATTTAACCTTTAGGCTAAACAAGCCAGGGAGAGGAACACAAGATGCGTTCTAGTTATAGATCAGTAGATAAAGAGAAGATAACATGGGTACCACAGAGGACTGAGCAAATACCACAGTAATCATAGACAAGG